GTAGTAGGTAGTAGGTAGTAGGTAGTAGGTAGTAGGTAGTAGGTAGTAGTAGGTAGTAGGTAGCAGGTAGTAGGTAGTAGTGAGGAGTTAGTAGTTGTTTAGTAGTTGTTTAGTAGTTGTTTAGTAGTTGTTAGTTGTTAGTAGTAGTTAGTAGTATAGGTAGGTAGGTAGGTAGGTAGTTAGTTGGTTGGTTAGTTAGTTAGTTAGTTAGTTAGTTAGTAGTAGTAGTAGTAGTAGTAGTAGTAGTAGTTAGTAGTAGTTTTTTTTGTTCGTAGTAGTTGGTACGTAGTAGTTGGTACGTAGTAGTTGGTAGCAGTTGGTAGTAGTTCGTAGTAGTTGGTAGTAGTTGGTAATAGTTCGTAGTAGTTAGTAGTAGTTAGTAGTAGTTAGTAGTAGTAAGTAGTAGTAAGTAGCAGTAAGTAGTCGTAAGTAGTCGTAAGTAGTAGTAGCAGTAGTAGATGTACTAGCAGTAGCAGTAGCAGTAGCAGTAGGAGTAGGAGTAGGAGTAGGCGTAGGAGTAGGAGTAGTAGTAGTAGTCGTCGTCGTCGTCGTAGTGGTAGTGGTAGTGGTAGTGGTAGTGGTAATGGTAGTGGTAGTGGTAGTGGTAGTCGTAGTCGTAGTAGTAGTAGTAGTAGTAGTAGTAGTAGTAGTAGACGTCGAAGTAGTAGACGTCGAAGTAGTAGACGTCGAAGTAGAAGTAGTAGTCGTAGTAGTAGCAGCAGTAGCAGCAGCAGCAGTAAGAGTAGTAGTAGCAGTAGTAGCAGTAGTAGCAGTAGTGGTAGTGGTAGTGGTAGTGGTAGTGGCAGTGGTAATGGTAGTGGTAGTGTTAGTCGTAGTCGTAGTGGTGGTAGTAGTAGTAGTAGTAGACGACGTATTAGACGTAGTAGTAGACGTAGTCGTAGACGTGGTAGTAGACGTGGTAGTAGACGTGGTAGTAGACGTGGTAGTAGACGTGGTAGTAGCCGTGGTAGTAGCCGTGGTAGTAGACGTGGTAGTAGACATAGTAGTAGACGTACGAGTAGACTTAGTAGTTGACGTCGTAGTAGTAGTAGTAGTAGTAGTAGTAGTAGTAGTAGTAGTATTAGTAGTAGGAGTAGCAGTAGCAGTAGCAGTAGCAGTAGCAGTAGCAGTAGCAGTAGCAGTAACAGTAGGAGTAGTAGTAGTAGTAGTAGTAGTACTAGTAGTAGTAGTAGTAGTAGTAGTGGTAGTAATAGTGGTAGTAGTAGTAGTGGTAGTAGCAGTAGTCGTAGTAGTAGTAGCAGTAGTAGTAGTAGTAGTAGCAGTAGCAGTAGCAGTAGCAGTGATCGTAACAGTAGAAGTAGTATTATTAGCACTACGAGTATTAGTCTTACTAGTACCAGTCTCAGGTTGTTGATGCCACGCCGGTCTTCTGACTGCAGCCGGGCTGCCCCGTAGCAGAGCCGGCACCTATCGGGCAGCAGCCTTGCGAGACATCTGGTGCGCGAAGGAGCGCACCTACCCAGAACTCCTTCGGCCGGGCATGCCGCCTCGTCGTTTTTGCCACCGAGGTTGGAGGCTGATGGAGTTCGGAAGCCGCCTCCTTCCTCCATCTCTGGGCCCCAATACCGAGCCCGCCAAGCCCCTGATGCCCTCCGACGGGACACAGCGCAGGCGCTTGACCCATGCCGCCATGCACTCCTTTGCCGCCCGCCGGCATACAAATGGCCGAGCGGCACAGCGACAAAAAGGAACGCAGAACAAAGAACGCCTCACAAAAGACAAGGCAAACGAGTCCAACAAACCCAAGTACTAACGAAAACAATCGAAAACCATTCAATCCCCTACCATATGCCCAACTTTGTTCTCTTGAAGTTGCAGGGTTGCAGTTGCTTTTGTGTCAGCAGCAACCACAACAAGGCAAAATTTTACCCACAAGGCCGCTGATTTTTGTCGTCGGAAAAGGAGCAACGACCGAAGGTTGGCCGACGTGCTAACGAAAGTTGTCACCGAGGAAAAATCGAACATTGCAATGAAAGGCATGACCGTCCACTACTTGGGAAGGTGAGCGTGAGAACACACTGAGAGCTTGAAAGGCTGGAGCTAGAGAAGGTACTTCTTCAAGACCAAGATGTACTGAAGGGCTACTAACAACTACTAACTAATTCTTTCATGTGCTAACCCTGACTTGCTTATTTTTTAAAAGGTTTTAAAACCGGGAGGCGTGATCAGATGTAGCACCAGTTACATGTCATGTGCAGTGCATAGCCGTGTGTAGATGCATTTTTCACAGCAGCTGTTTGTTTTTAACTTTGGGTTATTTTTGCATCCTTCAAGCGTGAGCTTGGAACATAACGTCTGGGTTTTGACAGATGAAGTGGTGCAAGTATATGAAATTTTGCATCTCTTGTTGGCCAACGGGAAGCTATCTGGAAGAACGCCGTTGCGGGGAGGAAACTTTAATGCTTGTGTTGGCTTAATGGACGGTCATGACTATGTTGACCAAAAAGGGCCATACGGAATGGGGAGCAGAAACCAGCGAGGAAATGACTGCTCAGGTGATTCTTGAGTGGTGTCATTGCCGTGCATGTCAACATCTTGTGCTGCCGGTGGTGGTCACGATCGCTGGGCCTCGCCAGCGCTGGATTTGAAGTTTTTCACCGCCGCATCTTCAGTAGTATGCCCAATCCCCCACTGCCACTTCAGGGGGTGTGGCCCTTGGTTTTGCCAGAAGTGCTCTTCGAAGTGTGGCATCGTGATTGGCTGAATGGAAGGCTTCGGCTGCAGCGTGTCTCAAAAAGTGGTCCTCCTGGCATTCTCGTAGTCTGGCCGAGAATCATGAGGCTCGTCGGTCCGTGAGTCCAACTGGATGATTTGGCGTACTGAACTGAACTGCTAAAGACAACCTGACTGGGAGAGGCCATGGATAGAGCGAAGACGATTTTGCTGTTGGCAAGACAGAAAAATTGTCACTTTCAAGTCGGTCTCAGGGTAGTCACGCAGCAGCTTCAACGACTGCAGTCGTCGTACTGCATGTAGGCGGTGCGCTTCCTTGGGGACCAGGAGCAATTTGACACCATAGTCGTTGAGGCGTTGTTGAAAATGCTGAGACATGTGAGTTCCCGAGCTGTCAGTCCTCAACGTGCTGGGTGCACCAAAGGCACTGAACCATTGACTCTCCAAAGCCACAAGTTCTTGTTTTTCAGTCTCTTGTTGCAGTAGGCAGCTGATCTCATAGCGAGAGACGACATCGATGGCGGCCAACATCCGGATTCGCTTGTCATTCCACTTCACATGACACGTGTCCACCTCCTTGAAGTGGGTAGCCTGTGGTAATAAACCAGGCTTTGCAAGCTTCCGCTGGACGTCAAAATTCCAGTTGCCACATTCATAGTTCTTGGCGACCTGAATCACTTCGTCACGGAACTTGGCGTTTTTTGGAAGGATTTGCAAAGTTTCTCATTGCTTGGATGCCCAAGCTGACGGTGAAGCTTGCTCACGACTTGGACTGCTTTCATTCCATGAGTCTTCATAAGTGTTTTTTCTTCGTCACTGAATGGCTGGTGACATTGTCGCTCAAGTAGTTCCAACTTTCGGCGGAAGCTTCTGTAGGAGCGCTGTGTCAATCCATCGGTGGACGGGCATTCCTTTGCCAATCCACCATCCAAGCCACGAACCTGCGGTGTAAACGGCATTTGTGAGCCGGTGCCTCCAGTGTGTGAGGCGCCTTGTTCACCTCCAGGTCGTTGTTGCTTTCCATTTCCTTTGGTTGCCATGGGTGTGTGGGAACTTTGAGATGATCACACCCTTTTCCTCAGGGAGGAGCCCCAACAAAAGCGCAGTGATGTAGTTTCACCCAGGTCAAAGGAAATCTGGAGCGTACCGGGTTCCGCTACCAATATCGTGGTAACTTCCTCGCCCAACCGCAATCGAAGTCGGTGGGGACAATCTCAAACAAGTAGAAACGCGCAATCAGCGCACGGTTCCTCGCGAGAGGTCGAAGTCGCAGCCTTGCCTAGTCTCAGGGGCCCTTATTGAGCCGGATGCAAACATTACATATGATGTCAAAGTGAACGGACCTGACATGAAATTCCTGATGTTTCGTGAGGGCATCAACAGGCGCAAATCCAACGCATGCCAAAAACCAACGGACTTCATGCCAAACATCGTGTCGTGCGAAGTGCTTGAGCACCGCTGAAATGAACAATGGCCTTAGCATGAGGGCAAAACGGTACAATTTCGATGGTCGAACGGGTGCGATTTTGCGACTTGCTATGGCTAGCAAACCTGTGGGTGATATTTTGTCCCCATCGAATTCAGGCGCTGGCTTCAGTTCAGGCTCAAATTTAACAAGGTCATGCTGTGAACGCATCGGCGAGGCTGACATAAGTTGTGGGATGGGTAGTGTCAAGGTGCTAACCCGCACCATTTTTGTGGCGACAGCGGTTTGGTATTCTTTTGCTCTTGGCTGGGCCTTTAGCAGCGCCCGGGGGCAGAGGACCGTCAGGAACTGCAGTGTTCGAGATCGATCATCGCTTCTGGGCATGAAGGTCCATATCCTTTTTTGTTTTTTTTTGGAGGCGGCTAATGTTGATTCATGTGGGCGGTTTTTGACATCGGAAACTAGACTTTTGTGATTCACGAGGCTCACCAGACATGCCGTGAAGTTCATGTCCAAGAGGAAAGCGAGTTACGGGCCCGTGGATGTTGAAGCTTTCTACGCTGAGACCATCACTGGTTCGGGCGGTGCCCCTCAAGGTTTGGAGCGAGATTTGATTACCAGATTCTTCGGCGATGGTGACTTCCACGGACATGGGGATCATGAGGCCAGGAGCTCTCTCAAGATGGAAGGAGGAAGGTGTGACAGAACTCCGGTACAAGGTTCCAAGTTTGAACCGCGTCTGTTTCGACATGACAAGTCTCACGCCTTAAAAACAAGGAATATCACGGAATCATTTTTTTCCATGCTGGGGGTACAGCATAGTCAACATAGTGGTTCGTTGTAAAATCGGACTTTGCCAGATGAACGAAACGATGACTTGATCAAGCGGCATTAATCTAGAAGAGGATTGTTTGTGATGGATGATGGATGATGGATGATGGATGAAATTTTGGGATTGGGATGATTGGGATGATGAGGAAAGATGAAAGAGATCGGAAGACCACATTTTTTTTGATTCGGATGATTAGGAAAAGAAAGAGGATTGCAGGATGAAAGGGATGGAAAACAAGATGGAGGCCAGAGGGAGGGCTTGATTAATAGGGGAAAAAACAGGATGAGAGGCAAAAGAACGATGATCATGATATATAATGATTGATGATTGGTGGATATTGAATACTAGCAAAGAAGAAAGTACATAAACACAATAAATGTTAATACAATTTTACGGTGTTTTTGTGGTGCAGCTGGGCTTGATTAATGGGGGGGTTCTGGCAAGGAACAAAGAGTATCAGGGGGGGTTGCAGGGTTTTAGTTATATAGTTTGTTCGAATTTGAAGACATTCCACAAAGCACAATAGGCCAGTCATCCTGACATGTGGTTACGACATATCTAGGCTCAAGTTTGCAGCGGAAAAATCGTTCTGCGCTACTTTGCATGGTAGCGGAGCCCGGGCCGTAGCGAGCCCGGGCTCCCGCTGGGCACAACGACAGCCACATCGTGGCCACGATCCTCATTGGTTGGCGGCCCGAAGGCAAAGGGCATTTGGTTGTGTGAACTTTTGATCCTCGCTTGCCTTGCGGGTGGCATCAGCGCTCCAGCTCTGCAGGAGATCAACTATTACAGCCCAGGACGTGTGATATCAACTGCCTGGAAGGTCAAGAAGCGCTGTTTCCACTCGGTGCTCCTAGAAGGAGACATCTACATTGGCAAGGTCAAGTGGGTGAAGTCAGGAAGAGCTACGAAGGCATCCCTGATCGTCAGAGAGAAGGGAAAGAGGAGAAAGAAGAAGAGGCCAATCCGTGAGGTGACGGTAGTTGTCCCCAGCAGGTGGTCCTTTTTGGAGAGGCTCGAAACCAAACAGGAAGAGATCCAGGGAGACAAAGTCTGTGCATTAGTGGCACAGTGGAAGTTCTGGGAGCTAGTGGCCTATAGCGGGCAGAGCTTTGCAGATCAGGACGGAGAAGGAGGAGCAGATTGGAGCACGAGAAGCTACTACCCAAAGCCCCGGAGGATTGAAGCAATGGCTGAGGAGAGTTTGCGGCTCATTTCAACAGCTCTGGAAAGAAAGGCTTCAGGTGACCCAGAGTGCACAGGCCTGGTCCCAGCATTTGAAGACGCCGGATGTGTTCAAGCCCGAATCCCGTGATCTTGAACTCAAAGGTTGGAGCGATTGCAAGTTTTCCTTTTGCAACTATGTGAGGGGCATTGATCCAGCCCTTGCAGCGGCTATGGAGGCCTTGGAGAAGGAACTCAATGCAGACTACGCCCTCGATGACATGCCAGAGGAGATGCAGGGCATGGCAGTCAGGTTGTACAGCTTGCTCACATCATATATGAGGCAGAGGCCGCTCAAGTTGGTCCGCCATGTGAAACAGGAGAACAGGTTTGTGGCACGGCAAGTTTTGCTCAAAGAAATGCAGCCTGCAACACGGGCCAGGAGTCTAGCCCTACTGACTCAACTGTCTCGTGTACAGTTTGCAGAAGGCAAGACGCTCAGTGAACAACTTCCTCAATACGAGGCTATCGTGGCCGAGTACGAGAGGATCTCAGGACGAGAGTACAGTGAAGATGCCAAGGTGGCTTCCATACTTCAAGCTTGCCCCAATTACATGAAACAACACTTGCAGTTGTGGGTCGATGATTCGACGACCTATGAGTCCTTGAAGAACAAGATACACCACCTTGAGGCTTTGACGACAAGGTGGGAGGCACCAAACAGCTTGGCCCTTCCTAAAAGAGCCAGCGGAGACGACCCTATGCCGATGGAGGTCGACTACGTGGGCAAGGAGAAGGGCAAGAAGGGTGGAAAGAAAGGAAAGGACGCAAAAGGGAAGAGCAAGAGCAAGGACAAAGGAAAAGGGAAACCAGAAGGTAAAGGAAGCTGGAAAGGACAAGAGAAAGGAAAGACCACGTGGGAGAAAGGCCCATGGAGGAAGCCAGAGAAAGGGGAGAGTGAGAAAGGAGGAAAGGGCAGCAAAAGTGGTGTATGCCATAATTGTGGCAAGCCAGGGCATTACGCCAAAGACTGTTGGAAGCGAATTCAACAGATCGAGGAGCATCCAAATCCAGGAGGAGCATCGAGTTCATCAACAGGGCAAGTTGGTGGTGGAGCTGCACCACAGACCACATCAGTAAAGATGGTTCGCATTGCAACTCCACCTGATGCTCCATGTGCTGAGGTCTTTGACCTGACGACACCACGTACTGCTGCAGACAGTGAATGGCATCCATGGAGAGTACAGATGATCAGACTGGCTGATGACTTTGAGGGAACAGAGCAGCTGGTCAAGCACGAAGTCGAGGTGATGGAAGAAGAGGTGTTCTATGACTGCTTGGAACCTTCAGTCTGGGCACCCGAGGAAGTCCCCATTATTGCACTGGACTTGCAGCAGTTTGAGACTGAGGAGATCACCCTCCACATGATCCAGATGGTCAGTGTGGGAGACTTGGATGAAGAGCCATGTTTCGTGACACTCGACAGTGGAGCGGACGTGTCAGTGTTGCCAGCCAACTATGGCAACGTGGGAGAATGGAGGCCGGGCGCAGAAGAACTGAAGATGGTGGATGCCCAGGGAACGAGGATAGCACACCAAGGCTTGACACGAGCTAAGGTGAAGGTGAAGGATGTGAACGGCAAGGAGGTCGAGATCATTGAAGAATTCGTTCTTGGAAACGTACAACACCCCATCATGTGCGCTGGCAGACTGCTTCGAAAGGGTTGGAGTATCCAGTCGAAGGAGGATGGTCTTCAGCTCTGTCATGTTGATCGGGACATCACCATTCCCATCAGCAATGAGCGGCACCCATTGCAGTTCAAAGCAAGGATTTATGGAGTGGAGCAGAGAAGCAGCCAGGAGACAATGGAGAAGAGGGTGATGGTGTTTCGAGGCTATCTCAGCCGCTATGTGGAGGAGTTGGAGTTTGTCCCTGGTTGGCATAGGTTGCCAAACGGGGTGATAGCTCACAGTGACCCAGTGGCCGTCTACATGGTTGATCCCAGTCAAAGCATCGAAGGAGACTGGAGAGCTTGTATGACATTGATGAAAGACAAAGATGGTCTTTGGAGGCAAGTGGAGAACACAGAGAATTACAAGGAGCAAGGTGAGAAGGCATTCAGGAAAGTGAGCACAGATAGAAATCCAGAAAGGATGCTGACGTTTTTCTCGCCCTACAAACTCCTGGACTACTGGGCTCCAAACTCAGAGGTACCAGTGCACCCGTACCCAGAGCCAACAGGTGAGATCAGGCACATTGAATGGTCAGATGAAGAGGAGCAAGAGAGAGAGGAGGAATTGGAAGAACAAGTCGAGGTTCAGGACATTGAAAAGATGTATGTCCTGGAGAGAGAAGATGAGGTTGAGCTCGACGAGGTGATCTACAGTGAAAAGAGCACTGTGAAGGAATTGCAACTGGCGTGCAAGGAACGAGGATTGCCTTGCTTGCACTGGTAGCAAGAAGAGGTTGCTGTCAAGGCTCATTGGCTTCAAGGTCGATATAGAAGACAAATTTCAGATGAACATTGCAAGCAAGTTGTTTAGGGAGCAACAACGTACACCAATGACCTTGGGACAACCAAAGCTGCCATCATTGCCGGAGCAGGAACTTCATTTCGTCACTCATTGGCCCTATGCACCATGGTGTCAGGCATGCATGGCATCAAGAGCGAAGGAAGACAAACATATGCCACAAGAAGGGAAGCCTGACCTAGGGACAGCCATCATCCAGTTGGACTTCATGTACGCCTATACCGGACCAGAGAGCCGCATGGAGGAACCGACGCAAGGCAGGGTCCAGGAACGGCAAGATCAGTTCGGCACCTGTTTGATCATGGCTTCAACAGAGAGCAAAGCAATTCATGTGGTGCCAGTACCCAGCAAGGGCACTGCCAGCTTGAAGCAAGTGACCGAAGAAGTGATTCGTTTTTCTCTGGAGAATGCAGGAAGAGAAAAGTGCATTTTTCAAGCAGACTCCGAAAGGGCAACTCGCCAAATCCTGAGGTCTGTTCAACAAGTGAGGAAGGTGATGGGACTGCAGACCGAGATTCGTCTCACAGGAGCAGGACAACACGCTTCGAATGGATTGGTGGAGAGAGCTGTCCAGACGGTGAGGAGACTTGCAAACTGCTTGAGGTCATTTGCAGAGGAACGAGCGCGGTTGTCCATCTTGGGACACAACCACCTATATCCATGGTCCTTCAAGCACGCATCGTTCTTGATCAACCGATATCGTGTGCTGGAAGGTGCTGGGGCGAACAAGCTATGAGCTAGCTACAGGACATGAGTACAGAGGGAAGCTTGTGCTCTTTGGTGAAGTGGTCATGTACAAGAGGATGATCAAGCACAAAGGGTCAAAGGTGTTTGAGCAGGGCATTTGGTGTGGCAAGCACTCTTTCAACGATTGCCACATTGTGCTGACGCCAGAAGGAGCATGTGAAGCAAGAACAATTCGCAGGTTGGCTCCAGAACAAGCTTTTGATGGCCCAGCTCTCATCACCTGTAGAGGATTACCATGGGCATATTCACCACAGGGCATTCTCATAAAACATGGAGGCCAAGCTCAAAAGTACCGGCAACCAACATTGGAAGCTGAGATTCAGCCGGAAGAGCTTGATGACATTGCCCAAACGGTGGCTGCAGGACTGGTGACACCAGCACCAGGTCGTCATGTCAGCCAGAGTCAACAAGGAACTGGAGTTGCAGCACCGGTGACACCAGCACTGCCAAATCCATCAACGAAGAGGCAACAAGACGATGCTGAAGATGGCCGAATCCTGAAGAGACAGGACACCACCGAGTCACCGAGGAAGTCAGCAGAGAAGAGAGAAGCTGAGGAAGCAGAAGATGAGGCAGAGAAGAGGAAGAAGATTGAGGAGAGCAGTGAGGACAAGCCTAAAGATGCTGAAGTGCACATGGACGAACAGAGTGACGCAGCGGCAACAACAAGACCAGCTGAGCATGAAGCTGAGGGCTCACCTAGTGGGAAGATTGCAAGGCTGTATCCGCCTCACTATGCAGGCGTCCAAAGTGTCGAAGTCCATGGTGACGAAGAGATGGGCTTGGAACACATTCCTGAGGAAATGAACGGGGAGATGCAGTACAGTTATGGAGGTGAAGAAGATGGTGATCCACCAGAAGTCACGCAAGAGGAGTTGGACACCTTGGACAAGGAAGCAGCCAAAGTAGAGATCGAAAGGATGCTGAAGATTCCAGCCATGGAGGAATCAACGGATGAAGAAGTGAGGGCATGTTCGGGGTACACTATTTCAACAAGGCTGGTGTACACATGGAAGCACAGATTGGAGCAGGGAGGATGGTTTCGTCGAGCGAGACTAGTCGCAAGACAATTCACTGAAGCGTGGATGTCGAGCAGACATTTGCTCCCACGTCACTCATGATCATACCAAAGATGATGATCCACGTGCTTCTGAATGTGTGCGCAGGATTTGTGGCCATGACCCTGGACATCAAAGATGCTTTCCTCATGGCCGATCAACCAGTTGAAGAGAAGGCATTCATCAAGATTGACGAGAAGGTGTTCCGGTTGTTGAGGTGCCTTCCCGGACAAAGAACAGCCGCATCACAATGGTTTCAAAACTTCTCACAGGCCTGCAAGGAGTTCAAACTGGAGCAAGATGTGATGCAGCCTACATTGTTCCTGAGACAAGGAAACATGTACCTGACGGTGCATGTGGATGATGTCTTCATGGTGGGAACGCCTCAAATCCTTCAGGAATTTGTGATGTTCTTGAAGAATGTGAAGAAGTGGAAGGTAGAGGCGAAGGGGCCGTTCACTGCAGGAGAGAAATTCCTATATCTCAAGAGGCAGTTCAAGATCACAGACGATCACTGCGACATCAGGTGCGACAGAAAGCAGTACTATGGGCTTGAGAAGGAATTGGACCTGTTCTGCAGAGCATATCGAAAGACGCCCCTTGATCAGAACTTCACAAGGAAGGATGATTCACCACTCCTGGAGGCAGATGAGGTGACAAAATTCAGGAGCATTGTTGGAAGACTGATGTATATGGCAAGTGAGAGGCCGGATGCACAGTTTGGGATTCAGTGTCTGGCAAGGAAGATGTCGGCGCCAGCGAAACAAGCTCTGAAGAATGCATGGCACCTATGTTCATACCTCCAAGGAACCATTGATTATGGTGTGAGATTGTCCAAGAGGGAGAAAGGAAGATCAGTGCTGGATAGCAGAGAAGATGAGGAGATCAACAGCGGTCCTGTACATCTGGTAGAAGTCCTGACAGATGCAGATTATGCAGGAAACAGAGACGACAGAAAGAGCACCACATCGTTCCAAGTGTTCATTGACGGAAATCTCATTGAGAGCAGGGTCAGGACACAGAAAGCTATATCACTATCCTCAGGAGAAAGTGAGTTTGTTGCGGTGGTGGCAGGATGCTCAGATGGCATGCTGATCAAGCATTTGCTCAACAAGATGACAGGAGGAAGCTGCTTGATGAAGATCAGAACGGACAGTTCAGCTGCCAGATCCATGGTTCAGCGCCAAGGCATTGGACGTGTGAGACATTTAGATGCATCGTTGTTATGGGTCCAGCAAAAGGAGAGCGAGAGAGCTTTCAGTATAGCAGCAATTCCGTCAGAGTTGAACAGTGCAGACATCGGCACGAAAAGCTTGACAAGGAAGAGATTGCTGGCCCTACTCTACATGATGAAGTTTGTGGACGCGGTTGGCGACAGAGTTGGCACAGAGGAGTACAACGACCTCGAATACCAGTACCAGATCAGGAAAGGAGCCAAGAAGATGATGAAGTCAAAAGACATCCGCATCGGTCTACTGCTATTGATGGCAAACATGAATTCAGTGGCTGGAAGTCAAACTGAAGCAGAAGAGAAGAGCAGTACCGACTATGGATGGTGGGCACTAGTTTTCTGTGCCGTGATCGGAGCCTTGAGCACATTGAGGTGGCTTCGGATCTTCATGATGGAAGGTCTCTATGGCATGCTGGGTCGGATGATCAAGTATGAGACCTCAGCAAGACAGGAGACCACAAGCCAGAAGTGCGATCAACAGACTCAAGCAAATGAGTGGATCGACTCTTACATCTGGCAACAGTATGAGGAGGAGAAAGAGGAAATGGAAGAAGAGATGCACAACATGCAAGCTGCATTGCTGCAGGCAGAAAAAATAATGGGTCATTTGCAAGAAGACCTGAAGGAGGTTCGACGTCAGCGAGACGACAACCTCACCATGTTTCTGAAAAGCCAGCAGCATCAGATCAAGTTGGAGAAGAAGATGTGAAATCTTCGAAAAGCACCAAGTGGAAATGTCATCCACTTTGATGCACGGTGTGTGCATTGGCAAAAAGCCAAGCATGCTGCATTTTGCAGCATATGTCAGGATGAAGGGGCCGTGTTCGAATTTGAAGACATTCCACAAAGCACAATAGGCCAGTCATCCTGACATGTGGTTACGACATATCTAGGCTCAAGTTTGCAGCGGAAAAATCGTTCTGCGCTACTTTGCATAGTTTAGTACTGGAGGCTCCAGCTGGGCTTGATTAATATGGGGTTGGTTAATCCTACGTTGACATTAACCATTGTTATGGCGTGGTAATGTTTCTGGAAATGACCATCGTCGAACGTTTTCAATCACATAAACCAAAAAGTCGAGTGATTCGGAGGCGGTTGAACAGTTTGTGGTTGGTTGTCACCGCCAGTCGGTGCATAGTTTCATGTTTGATGGTTTTGATGTATTCGAACACACTGTAAACATCGCAAACTCATTCAACAGCAGGACCATAGACAGCCGGAACTCCTAAGCATCAGCATGATTTACCGACTTCAATCCGTTATGTTTGATGGATTTGACGCGATCCTTTTGACCATCGTTTGGGTGGTAGCAGGATGCAGTGACACCAGCTTATCGTATTGACCTTCAATGAAGCACATAGAGTCTTATAGAGCGAATTTCGGTGACTCTTTGTTGCTGGGTTTATCTCGTTCTGTTTTCACACACTTCTTGCAAGCTTCATTGGCGCATATATGTCGGAACCAAACTGGCACGTATTAGGTGCTGAATGCCTTGCAGTATCAGTGCACTGGACTTCGTGTTTTCGACGCCCTTCCAAAAAACACCTCCGTGATTGAGATGCAGCAGTAAGTAAGAGTTTCTGGCACTTCCCCAAGTCTCCAGTGGCTCCAGGCTGCATTGAAGAACTTCCGCGAATGCTTGGAGAAGGGTGAGCCCTTCGTGGGGTCCGACGATGGCAACGGCTGGATTTGGGCCGTGGCCGACCTCACGGTGCAAGATGGGCTGTCGTTGGAGCTGCGGAAGTCCGTGCCCTACGGGCTGCGCGCGTTGCTGGTGGCGAAGCAGGGCGCGGTGGGCGAAATGTTCGAGAAGCTCAACTGGGGTGTGGTGAGGCGGGTAACACAATTCAACTAAGTCCGGCACAAAAGCATAGTTATACTGAGATACTTTCTACAATCGTTTTGGGCCAGAAATGCCATGTATGTGGAAATGGTGTGGGTCGTTTGTTGGCGCGGGCGCAGCGTTTTGAATCCGGTTTATGGGTGGTGTTCATGCTTCAGGTGTGCATGGGGAGTAGATGATACTCACCTTTAGCTTGCTTTGCCGTAATGCCACCGCAGGAGACGGCTGAATGAGCTGTTAGGTCAGCGAGATGCAGAAGGAAACACGATCCCCGGTTACCAGCCTCCATGACAAGTTGCAAACAAAAAGGGGCGCAGGCCGTTGGAATTGTGGATTCAAGAGGAGGGATTTTTACTTTATATTTTTGTCAAGCTGGTTGCTCTTGAGCCTGCTTATTTGTGCACTGCCAGTGGGGGTGGCATGGGGAATCTTTGTGTGGGCAACAGGTGAAATTTATTCTTTAACTTGAGGCTGTCAGATCTCTCCGAGACATCTTGTTTTTGGGTGAGAAATTGCTCAAGCTTGGGCATTTGTTTCACGTGACCAGCATCAGTATGAGTGCCTCCGACCAAAGTGTCGGATTGAGTGCTGGTGTCGGCGATGTGCTTCAACGCCTTGCTGCATTGGAGAAGCGAATGGATGCCATTGATAGCACTGAGAAAGGCGTGGTTCTTTATTGAAACGCGCATGGAGCATGAAGAGGATGAGTGGTTTAGCATGGCATGGCAGGGTCTTGATTCCTGAGCTTGAGTATCCAAATGCATGGATCTTGAAGGTCTTGCGACCCATTTGGGGTGAGCCATTCTTTAGAGTGTTCGCTCACAACAGGATCATGGGCACTTTTGTGTTTGAATTGTCCTTGGGATAGCAGCCGTTGCGATATTTCTTTTGATCCTCTATGGTGGAATGCTGCTGGGTTTGCTGGTCGAATTCTGGCGCAGGCGTGCTGCACAAGTGGCAAGGGCAGATGAAGGACTCTGAGCTGGAACTCAACAGGATCTCCGGCCATTTGAGTGCGGAACCAAGCGGGTTCCAACAGCAAATGGTTTTCAACCCTTCATTGTTTCAATCGCTTTGGGTTGTGACTCGGGTGCGTCCAAGTAGGGGCTTGAAACCGATTTTTCAAGAAGAGGCATTGGTCGATGACGAACCTATCACAAGGCATCGCTTCCAAGGAAGATCCCTCCAACGGCAGCTCGCAGCTCTGAGGTGGAGTGAAAGACACCATGCTGAGCCAACTAAAGGCGACGAACCGTGTTGAAGAGAAGTTGAGCAGCCAAATGCAGGCTCTTCAGGTGACTTGGTCACACTCATTGTGAATCAGGCAGCCTGGGCAGGTTGCTTGCCATACTGTATGATTTTTGCCATGCAAATCTGCAAACCCCACTGATGACCTGGTTGCGCACAAAGGTGGTGCCATGGTGCCCTTGGCTTGTTTTTCTTTGGAGCACCCGAAGTCAGAGGAAGCTAACATGACCATCATTTGCTTGGGGTGCCGCACTTGATGGTGCCAGCTTGCGGAAGACACGTCCCTCTCATCATGCTCCCAATGAGTGGTTCTACTGTGCTTAGGCCAGCATCCAGACCTGCGAGAAGCGCTGCACTCTGCTGGAACAACACCAGACCTCGCTGAGCGAGACAGCTTGACGGCTGACAAGTGTGGTGGGCTTCAGACATGGTAGGCGGCCGTTTCTGGAAACAACAAGGAGTCCGAGTTGGGACAGAAAGATCCTTCTACTTCGTGAAAGGGGTTATCCATGCATCAGATGTCAGACCCTTTTTGTAGACATTTTGGATCTGGGAAGGTCAGAGGCGGACGCAAGGCTGGGATCATGAGTTGAAGTAGGGGCTGCTCTTCACCCAGAGATGAATTTTGGACTCAGGTGAGCCAAATGATGAGGGAGAGAGCCCTCGATGCTAGAGAAGACGAGCAAAAGCTGGATGCTCAGGACAGGGATGATCGCTGGTCGGGTTTGGAAAAGTCTTTGCGGGTACTACCGTAGTTGGCTCGAAGTAGAAAGACAATAGTACTGAAAACTCAATTGGTTGCTTCCTTGCTCGGTTCGGCTCGGCTCGGCTCGAGCCGGTGGTTTGGGAGACGAAGGTCCAAGCGGTTGGGGTCTTTTTCTGTTCCCTTTGAAGGCCATGTGGAGATCTCAGAACTTTCATGAACATTCTGGCTCTTTTCTGCAGCCCGCTGTTCGTTGCGGCAAGGCCCAGTCAGTCCTGCCACACACACAGAGCACCCTGCTGATGGGTTCGTAGCCGCGTAGCCCCCAAGAGCCAACAATCATGGACATGGACAATAGCCCCGAAGACCATTTTCCTCTACAAAGCTGGTGTCTTCATTCTGCCACTTCCATATTGGGTTGGCGGTTTTATTTTGAACGACTCAGCTCCGGGTTGTGCAAGCTCGGCCATTGACCGCCGGAGGCGCACCTCCCGGAGGCTGAGCTGAAGGCCCAGCTGAAGGCATTGGCCCAGAGGGTCGAGCTGGCGCTGGAAGGTGGGACCCCAGAGCTGGGCGGGTTTCGTTTTGTTGAGAGGCACGCTCACCTGCGGTGGACCTGATTTTTACATCCGCAATGCGTCTTCCCCCCACCACGCACATGGATCACAAGGGTGCTGAATTGCGTTTCTCTTGACCTTTTGTCACCTGCTCAGGGCCATCTCGTGCAGCTCCGGTGGCCAACGAAGGGCTTATGCTGAAGCCGCAGGTGCAAGAGCTTCAGGTGGGATTTGGGTGCGAGAGCTTCAGCGGAGGTGTGGGTCCCCACACCTTACGGTCCATCGGCTCCAGCAACAGAAGCCTAACTCTCGTGTGGCCTTTGTCTTCGGAGTCTTTGGCAAAGAGAAGGCTCTCTAGCCAATGTTTCGTTATTATTTTTGGACTTTGCCCCATTGTTGGTTCACATCCAGCACTCTCCACGATCCGGGAACGTCTCCGGAGGAACGGCGACCGACCCTTCCGACCACCTGCTCCACCCTTTCCACTCGGCTCCGGCCAGGCAGCGACGCAGCGCTTGCGCAAGGAGGTCTTGGACGTGATGACCCGCTTGGAGGAGCAAGCGGTCCGCATCTCGTCCTGCCGTGCCCGCTTGGACGAGCTGGAGTGCCGTCCCGGAGAGTGAACCCGGCAAGAGACTTCTTCGGCCGTGAAACATGGCCCGAAAAGAGGTCCAAAGGCCGCGATTGTGGGGCACAATATACTGAAGAAACCAAAGCCAACTGACAGCGTTGTGAATCTTACAGAGTCACGATCGGTCTCTTCCCGCCCTTCGGGAGTCCATGCAGAAAGAAACCCAAAGTGGTCTTTCTGCTTGCCAATGATCGCCGAAGAAAAGGGTTCCTTGTAGGGGCTGAGGGATGAGGAGGAGTTGCTTGAGATAGCGATGTGGTTGGGCGTGCAAGGAGCTCACTTGTTTGATTTCAAATTTCCAGGTCACAATAGCCACCTCCAACCAGGACAGAAATCAATCAAGTTCCTGCTTGGTCCATGCCTGCCTGAGGTCCTCACAGCAGATGCAGCAGATGCAGATGCAGATGCCTTGGCTTTGCCTGATAGGTTCATAGGATGTGAGTGGCAAAAAGAAGCCCAGCTCAGTGAAGCACCTTCCCCCTCCATTCCCCCCTGTTGTGCTCGGCTGTTCTGTCCCACTGCGCCGGCTGTGGTTATAACGCGCAAAGAGCTCAAGAGACGAACCTGAGACCACACCCCAAAACCCCCGAGACAGGATGATGATGCAACAGATGGCCATGCAGCAGCAGATGGGTGCAATGCCATGCGCCCGGAAATCTGCAAAAACTCTAGAGCACCTGAAGGTGAGGGAGGTTGGACCTGAGGGTTGGACCCATCAAGTGTTCATTTCCACTACGCCTGTAGACGCAAGACAAGACGCGGAACATGTCAATAATCTTTGGGACGTGTGTCCTGTGTTCGGGGTAGTGTTCCCTTGTCGGTGGAGCTTGGAATTCTTTCTGATGGCTGCAATGTTGGACTGGAGGCACATGTTGGACTCGGGTGGCAAGTGAGCGGGCTGGGCTCAGGTCACCACAGATGCTTGCAGCGATGCAAGCGCAAGCGTTTCAAGGACAAGTGCCACAAAGTGGGTGCGCGGCTCAGACGTGAAAGTGCCTGGACCTGGTTAGATTTATGACAGACAAATCAAGAACCAAAGATCCTGAAGAGAACCCAACAAACACATTGAGCACAGAACCTCAAAGAGCAAACAGCAAGCAATACAACAAGCTGACTTTCGCTATACATATATAATATGTTTTGTTTCTTGTTCGTTCTTTTTCCCGATGATTGTATTACTGTATATATTCCAGTGTTCTTTATTTGCTTAAATTTGTTTTTCTAGTGATTCTAGTGAGTTGGTTTTGCTTGCCACCTTTGTTTTTGCAGTTTTCTGAGTTCGCTGGATGCAGCAGGGAAAACAACCATAAATAACACGTACTGCAATAACACAAGACACCCACAGAATGTCACTCCAACCCATTCTGAAAAGCATTGCAGGATCTAACCTTATGACCTGCAAAACCTATCAAATGCTGAGAATGAACCCCCCAAAAGGAATCAAACCAGGAACACAAACATACCAACACAGCAAAAACCGAAACACAGCACAAAAGACATGTCAGAACGAAACAAAAGCAGACAAAGCAACAAAGTAACAAACAAAGCAAAGAGCAAGCAAGCAACCCAGCAAGCAAGCAAGAAACAAACAGACAAAAAACAACACAAGAACTCCAAAAACACACCACGACTAAAACAGCAACACAATCAAAACAACAAGATAAATAAACACAAATAAACGAAAAGAACAAAACAACAAGGAAAGGGAAGCAAGTAAAATAATGACAAAACAAACAAACAGACTAAGAACAAAAACAAAGGAAGTCCGAGCGATAAATTTGTCCTTTGGCCTGTTGAGTGCCAGGTGCACATCTGATAAGTGTCAGAATTTTGCAGTTTGTTGGGTTGAGGAGCAATGGCTTGAATGCCAACGCCCCTGAGCGCGGGCACCAAGCGGACTGGAGTTTTTGGACTATGGAATCATGAGATGCGGGGGTGCGGAAGAGGAGACGACCAATGGTCCGGGACACTCTTCTCAATTCCCAAGTGGTCGGTTCAAAACAGGGCCTTCAAGACTGTCTTTTTGGAGTTGAGCCGAGTGGATGGATCTTGAAACTGAAGGTTCCAGGTTGAGAACCTTCCGACCAAGCCAGAAAAAACGGTGATTAACTGCACACCGTCTCTAAAACTCTTCAGCTGGGAAATCCTAGAATCTAAATGAATCTAATGGCCTCCCCCTAATAGCGGCCTTCAACCTACTAGCGATGGCCTCAGCTGGGCTCAGCTGGGCTCAAGGTTCACCAGTCCAACGAGTTTCAGGAAAGGAAGGGCACCGAACACACCCAGTTCTTGCAGGTATGACCCAACTGCGGGCACTGACGAGAAGGCATCGGACAGGGCAGCCCTCCAGGAAGAATGGATTTCCATGCCACAAGAGACGCCCGTCGCACATGACTAGGAAGAATTATATAGGTCCCAATTGTTTACCTTTGTAGGGGTTGACATATGCCAAGTGTCTTGGAGTCTTGGGGTCTTTGAACCTTGGATTTCCATATCCAGATCTCCATCAACCCCTTCCAATCCAGGAGAGAGAGAGAGAGAGAGCGCTTTTGACTTGAGAGATGCTCAACAATGACTTGCGATGTTTTACCGATCCAATGCTATTTTTCACTCGATCAAAGCACGCTGTGCTTTCGGACCTTCGGACCTGAACCGTCCTCAAAGCGGTTGGGCGTGGTCATCTAAACGAGTGGTCCAGTGGGCGGGGTCCAGTATCCATAGGTTCAGAGGTCACCAGCTACATTCATAGACCACCGTCATGGTGTTTTAACCGGCCTTTTCCAGCACAGCCTGCAGAGGCGGCGCTGTTTGAGCCTCAAAGATGCAGGGGGCGGTTGGAATGAGTTTGATCAGTGGAATCGAGGGTGGCATGAGGATTCCTCCCAATGAGTAGAGTCGTAGAGGATTAATGCAGGTGGACGCTCCAGCATCCTTGTATTGGCTGGATGTCACTTGACTGAACACAGTACGAAAATAACAAAATAACAACAACAATCATAATAATAACCTCTCTCTCTATATTGATGTATCCTGGAAGAAATGGATTGTACAGCCCATTCTTGTCTGAATTTGGTCAGCAAGCCGCCCCGAGATGCGCCAAATCTCACTAGAAGACAGGGTGCCCCATCAAGGGTAAAGTCACAGCCATGAGGTGTACATTGTGCATTCCCTCCAAGAATTGTTTGGAAAAGTCCATGTGTGGAAAATCTCCATGAAAGACCTGCGATTCGAGCCAGGAGGGCGGACCGAGACAATGACAGGTTGTTTGAAGGCCTCATGGTTCAGTGTTAGAATACCAATCTTGGAAGGACAAAACCAGTTTCTTTAACCCACACTTCGGTGCAAAACCTCCTCCTACAGAGCACCTGCAGTTTCGGAGATGGGGTTCAGCTGTCCCCGGGGCTTGGTTTCGGGTGGACGTCACCTGATCTTTGTCTCCGAGGCCGACCAAAGAGGCCACGCAGCTGGAGACGGTCACCGCGGGGTCACCAAGTCGAGCGAGTCGGGCTCGGCCCCCCACGGGGACCTCGGGGGGCCAACGTCCCGGCGTTCGGAGGAGACGGACTCTCGCCGAGCGGACGGGAGGCGGAGGGAGGCGAGTTGCTCAAGGCTGTGGATCTCTCACCACTTATTGACACATGTTTTCGCCACGGTTTGGCAGCGTGGAGCGCTGAGGTTGGTTTGTTCTTGGAGGAGATTGCCTATTTCATGGAGGTTGGGGCAGCGAAGTGGGCCATGCGGCGGGTCAATCTCACTCGGATGTGGAAAGTCTCCGAAAGATGGTGTTCCTCTAGGAACCAGTGGAGAGGTATCACGATAGTCCATCAGAGGGGGTGTCGATGGTGCTTTCAGATCCAGACTTGGAATTGCCAAAGAGAAAACAGATTAATACAGAAACTGGCAGGCGGGCGCATTGACAAATGTGCAATAAGTTGATATATATATATATAGTATGAGGTGCAGGCTGCCCTTGTCGTTGTTGCTGCTGTTGTTGTTGTTGTCGTTGCTGCTCACAGACCGGTGACTCTGTGGTCTTTGATTTTGATTGACACGACTGTGTGTGGCCAGGACATGGAGAAGGATCTGTGGTGGTTGCTTCGCATGTCGCACCAGCCAGCACGGGGGCCGAGCTGGAAGAAGATCCGGCCCGTCATCAGCCTTTTACAGTTGTACATGAGCAGGGGAGGATGAGATCCCAGCCAGAAACTTCAGTGAATAAATAGGCCCATCTCTCATGTCACAGGATCACACGGGCTGTTTATATACATCGGGCCATAGGTTCATTTTCTTTCGTTCCTGGGTTGTGTTCTATTTATTTTCCAACGTTGCTTGGGATGATTGCACCCACTGACTGATGTTTTAACTGACTGATGTTTTGAAACCACCAAGCAGTTTCTGACTCCTTGCGCTGGATCGCCGGCTCCAAGCAGAGACCTCCTTGTAGCGACGCCTGCGCACGGAGGGTGGCCCGCCCGCGCTGGTCCGTGGCGACGAGACCATCCAGCAGGTGGATTTGGCAGTGGAGGTGGGGGTCGAGGGGTCGAGCAGAGCAAAGCCGTTTGGGGGGGGTGGCACCAGTGATCAGGTTCCTACAGATCCCACAGGGCGTTTTGGGGTTTTCCTCATTGTTTGTACAAGAATGATCAACTTTGGTTGTTTTCCTTGTCACATGAGCCGGTTTCCTCGCCACCCGGAAGTTAGAAACTTCTGGCTCATGTTCTGCCGAACAGAACCGTAGGACCGATTCCATGTGATGGTCTAGCAGTCACACAACCCAGCTTTGGCATGGCTCTTTCAGTAAAGCCCGGTCCTTAACCTCATTGAGTGCTGTTTTTGTATGACGCCACGGTGCCAGGCCGTCATCTTAAAGCTCAAGGAGCGCGCCGACAAGCACATGGAGGACCACACTGCTCAGGTGCGGAGAGAGAGAGAGAGAGAGAGAGCAATCCCAGATTGAGTGGCCCTCACGGGGTGGTGCTGGTGCCTTTGGTGCAGTTCTTGGAGGCATCTGGATAAAAGAACCAACAGGATCAAAAAAAAGACACCACCAGATCAAAAAAAAATCTTAATCAAGTCCTTTAGTCCAGTGGTTCGCCGGTACCTTGGTCTCCTGGTCAAGTCCGTTGGTCCCCAGGTCCTTCGGTCTCCTGGTCCATTGGTCCGCTGGACGGGAAGTGAAAGGACAGTGCAAAAATGTCGAAGAAGCTTTCTTGCAAAAGACATTCTTTGCATACAATGGTATTCTGGCCCCATATTCCGGAAGTTTATTTTTTTGATAACATTCTTTTTCCCCAAACAGTGTGGACACCGACGTGTCCGGCTAATTCGCTGCTATTTACACTACATTCATGCCTCTCGAAATCCTCCAACTGCATTTCGACTGCGCAGGCTCGCAAAATCTGGTGGGCCGCGGCGGGTGCTTGTCGCGACTGCGCTCTCGTTGTGGTGCCGTGCGCATTTTCTGACATGATGGTCACTTTTCGTGGCAGGCGCAAGGGAAACCTCATGTTTTAGTGGTGCAAAGTCGACTTTTCGTGACAGGTGCAAGGGATCAGAGCGGCTGCACTTTGAACTGTAGCGCGGCAGGTGCAGCACTTTGGACATGGTGGTGATCTTCCAAGCGCTCCGATTTTGTGACAGGTGCAGTGAATCGTGACTTTTCTACATGTGGCAGGTTTTCAGGAATCGTTGCAGGCGAAGAACCTTGTGTGAACCTCGAAGTGCAGATTTCGTAGTAGGCGCAGCGCTTTGTGAACCTCGAAGTGCAGATATCGTGGCAGGCGTAGCACTTTGTGAACCTCGAAGTGCAGATATCGTGGCCGGCGCAGCGCTTTGTGAACCTCGAACTGCAGATTTCGTGGCAGGTGCGGCACTTTGTGCTTTCAGATGCTCGCTCTCACTCTCACTCTCACTCCCACTCTCAGTCTCACTCTCACTCTCACTCTCACTCTCACTCTCTCACTTTCACTCTCTCACTCTCATTCCCTCACTCTCAATCTCACTCACGCTCACCTCTCTGGAGCCCGATCTCTAGACTTTCTGCTGCTACACCTCTACACCTCACACACACTGTTTGGGCTCTCTTGCCGGGAGGGTCTTTGATCTAGATGCCATCATTTTGTCGCACCCTTGCCGGCCTTGTTTTGTGCAGAACATTTGACAGCGCCACGAGGGTTGATAATAGGGCCCACCATAGTGTCCTACCCTCCCACGCGGTGAATACCGTGATGATCCCACAGATAGCTCTGTGCAACATTTCTCTGCTGTGAGTGCCATATATTGCCGTGCTGCCAATGACGCCACGCGGGTGGACCACAGGGCCGACCATAGCTGAGTCCAATACTTCTCCGGCGTGAATGCTGTGACAACGCCACAAATGTCCAACACTTGTGCACTATGAATGCCGTGGCACCACCACACAGATGGGTGTTAGATCGTCTCCAACATTTCATTTCTATCCTTTCGCGCTCTTTTGTTTTTCTTTGTGGGTTTAATTCATGTGTTTGTTTGCTCTGCTGGGGGGCTGCCTGATCCTTTCATCGCCCTGCTGCTGTTGCCCTTTCCCTATTTTTTGTCGTTCACTGTTGTTTTTTAAAATCTCTTTCTTTTTGAACCCGTTGACGAAAAATCAAAGTTTTTCTTCATTGTTGTTGATCCCTCACCTTTGTTGGACTGGATGCTTTAGCTGATTGGTCCGTGCCATATGCTTGCATGCCTCTGTATGTATGGTCATGGCCCTCGGACGTGTGCCAGCTCCAATTCGCACCTGTTTCGCATCTCGGGCATCTTGGAGATGACAGAAATCATCAAGGGGGGGTGATGAGGACCGGGCCATGCGTCGCCAAGAACACCTTGAATGCGACGATTGAAGCCGTGGGCGTTTAACATTCAACGTTTTTTCAACCAGTGGAAGATGGAGTTTTGTCCTCAACAACGTCCTTCACCACCTTGCGAGTCTTGTGTGTTGTGGGTGAAGCTCCAAGACATCAGACTTATCAAGCTCGCCAGTGGTGTCTTGGTCCGACAAGACATGTCAGGTCCGTGCAAAGATTGTCATCATCCCCTCGGTGGACAAGACCGAGTTCGGTAGCGCAGTGCAGGTGGTGAAGCGGAGGTTCAATTTCCAAGACCCGTCATTCATAGCAGTTTTGCAATTGGAGACCGTGGATATCGATAGGAACAACTTTTGCAAGACTTTCCAGAAACCATATCCAAGACATTGGCGATTTCTTGAAGCAAGGACGACCCCAGGGTGACCACAGACTCTCGGAGCAGTCATCAACTGGGGTGCAATCACATGAGCTCTTCAACAGACTTTAGTGTTGATAAGATTGAACGGGTTCTTTCATCGTAGTCTTATCAGTCTTTTTCTCGATTGGGTGACATTGCATCAAGGCTAGTCCAAAAATGATACTGTGATTCATGCATCGCCGAGTTTTCAGTAGGAAGGAGTGAATCTGTCACATTCAATTCAATTGACCCTTCCTGAATGGTCCACTGAATGGTCGACAAGACCTTCCAAACAGGATGCCGCGTCAAGACTCAAGACCATCTATGAGAGAGGGAGTTGCCAGATAGACAGTCTTGAGTAGCCATGTGCTTGTTGCGCATTTGGGGAAGCACATCTCCACTTGAATGGATTTAGGATGATTTAGGCACGGTTTCCCACCAAAACACAGGGGCCTCACGTGATTCCATGCTACATCGGAGTCGGGGTTGAGGAATTGTCATGCTTCTCCAGATTCATTGTATCATCATCAATCGTCTCTTCAATGTTGGCTCGGTGTATCTCGAGACAAGACCTTGCAGCATCGCAGATGCACAGCTTTGGTAAGCCCCATTTCGCCCTACGAAACCTTTGTATAACCTCCATGACCCTTCACCGCCATCACTGCTTCTTCCAACCGCGGCAAACAATGCACGTGAGCTCCCCACACAGGTCTCCAGACATCTAAAGTTGCTGCTTTTCCCGGTACTGAGAAGCCACCCCGCCCTTGCTAGTAGCTGGGGTCCCTTGCCCGCTGGGCGACTTTGGCGCATGGCGTCTCTGGTGATTGGCGCCTCGCGCGGCCTCGGCTTGGCCCTCACCGGGCATCTCCTGCGAAGAGGGCCCGGACTGGTCCTGGCAGCACGACGGCCGAGCGGAGCAGGGGCTTTGGAGGAGCTGCAGAGGTGGGGGTGGTCATAGTTGGTGGACTTGGGGGGCTTTAGGGCTGAGCAGATGGGCCTTGCATCCGTTTGAATTCATGTGAGCTGAACCGCTCTGTTTTCTTGAGCCAAACGTGTACAGCGTTGTAGCTGTAGTTGGTTTCTTTTCATGAACTGCTGGGGAGGTGTCTTTTTGGGATTCACACTCCCCCTACGGCGCTTCGCCGTATTTGGACATGCTTTGTCCTTCTAAGCCGCCTGATCTTTGATCAGGAAAAAGCTAAAGCCGCACCAGCGACCCTGAACATTCGGCAAGGCGTCTTTTCGCCAATCCGCGTCCACATAGATCAGCCTGTTGCCGAAGGTCATCTTGGACAAATCCAGGACCCAAGCCACCGTCACCCGCAGGTACTCCAGCACTCTCAGGTCCTCTGGAGTCGACCGGTGCTCCGGGTGGAATCTCTGAACCCCAAGGCTATGCCGGCGTGTCAACCATGTTGCCGATGGCAGGCGTAAGTAGTCCCATGCATCCGTACGGGGAATTGGTCGGAACTTCGTCGCCTCCTCATCCACCAGCAGCTGCACTTTGTCGAACAACATTTGTGTCCACCACACCGATGGCTGCAAGGTCAGTTGATCTTCTTCCGCCCCATACGGAGGGATCAACCGTGGAGCTTGGGGCCAATGTGGCCGCTCCCAAGGGTTTTCGTAGCCCCGGTGTGGATCTTCTCCAGGTTCAACTGGTGGGCGAGGCATCACCATGTGTTTCGGCGCCTGAACCCACGGTGGTGCTTCATCCGGCCATGCAGATGCCAAAGACCTTGGGCACGATGAAGAACCCCCATAGCCCTTTGAAGCAGTCATACTTTTCGATGAGGTCCCCATTGCCGCAGCACCTCGTGCAGCAGCCTTGCCCCCACCCTCTTCAACCATGTAGGCAGGTGGCCTCTTCCAAGAAGCATTCTCTCCTCCGGATCTGCAGGTGGCATTGATGTCCGGAGTATGTTGCACATATTTTGGCAAGACCGGTGGAGGCTTTGCAAGCGGCGGCTGGCCGATCTGAACTTCTTTCGGAAGGATCGGCGGAGCCTTCACTGGCGGAGAGGATGCCTCTCCTCCATGCTCTTCCCATGTCCTCGCCCGCGATGACGCCGCCCCATTGGTTGCCGAAGAACCCGGTCTCGCCTCCGCCACCACTGAAGCGCAGTTGAATCTTGCCCCAAACGCCATGGCGCACGCTCGACGTTTCCAACTCTACCAAGGAAGCCTCTAGGCTACTGTTGGGATCAGAAGGTTCCGACCCTTGCGTGCGGCCCGACGCAGAAGATTCTTTGGCCTCTTGTTCACTTTTGTTTTCTTGTTCTTTTCTTGATTCTTCTTTTGGTGACCCTTGGTCTTTTGTTTCCCTTGCCGAGGATCCACCTCGCAGGGCACACAAGCGAGGTCGAACAGAACCCTTGGATTCTCCCCCATAGCTACAGCTAGTTGACTGACCATGTGAGTTTGGAGGTTTCGAATCCCCCGGTCCTGAACCCCTCTTACCTATCAGACGAGTGGCTTCAAAGGCTAAAGCTACCGCTAGTGAAGCTACCACTGCAATCTTGGTGACCGCATTGGGCCATTGATGACAAGCTGCGCAGCTCGCCATGCACAAAGCTACCTTGGCCAGCCTCACACCTCCATCGTTCTCGGGCGTCAAGGCGTCGTCCTTCGCGGCCATGTTCTTCTCCCCCAGGTCCACCATGTTGATGAACTGTCGAAACCTATTCCAGGAACTTTTCACCGCTATCGCCTTGGTCAGGAAGTCCGCAATCAGCTTCGATCCTTCAAGGTGGTAGATTTGCCACGTCCCCAAGCGAGCCCTTTCTCTCAAGGCATAGCATCTCAACCTCAGATGTCTGGTTCGCCACGGGCCATCTGGTTGTTGGATGATGGCAATGGCGGCCTGACTGTCACCATATGTAACCACCGAGGGCAGCTCTGCCAGGCCCAATACTTCCCCAAGTAGAGCTGTCCCCCATCGAGGATTCGACGTAGGCCAAAAGCTCTGCTTCTGCAGTGGAAAGGGCCATACAGCTTTGTCTGGATGACTCCCATTGTACCACTCCTCCTCCTACCATCCCCACTATGCCCTGAACACTTTTTTCTCCTTGAGGTGCATAGGAGACGTCGCAATAGATCTCGACCAGGTTCATGTTGCGTTCACGAGCTAAAGCATCCTCAGGTCCTCGATCTTTATCTCGGCAACGGCCATAGGCCAGGAAACAGTCTGCTGTGGCGTTCAAATACTCCAGGATGTAGTGCCCAGTCTGTACTGCCCAGCGAGGATGTTTTGTGACCTCCCGACCAGTGCCCCAATTGCATAGGATAGGTCAGGCCTGCTTCTCACCGACATCCATAGGATCTCCCCGGCAATCGCTTGAGCCTGTCTCACATCCTCAATCTTGATCTCCTCCTCGACCTCCATTGCGGTGAGATGCTCCTTGGGCAGTGGAGTGGATCTTTTTGTAGTGACTCCCCTTCTTCGGAGAAGGTCTTGTAAATAAGACGGTTGTCCCACCAAGATGTTCTCCTCCTGGAACTTCATCTCAAAGCCACAAAACCTGACCCAATCCTCTTTGTTCACTTTTTCTGGCTTGGACGTCTTCCACTCTTTTTGAATGCGGGAGACCAAACCATCATGAGCCTTCCAAGTGCCCATCACCAAAAGATCATCTACGTAAACCAGCATCAGTCCCACTGGCATTTTGTCCCCCTCCTTCACAATGCGCCATAGGTTCCTTTCGTTCGTGGGCTGCAGCATGAACTTCTCCCCCTGACATTCCCATTCGAATGTAGAGAAGCGCTCATCCCGATGTAGAGCCCAATGGCTTGGAGAGGTTTGGAACCCGTAGAGCGCCTTTTTGACCACCCACACTTCATTGTCCGGGCATATGCCAAGTTGGGACATCAAACGCGGCGGAACCACCGCAACTGGATTTGCGCCCGGAGCCACCGGCCTTGGGGCCTGTAAGAAAGCACTTTTGACATCAAGCGCTGACACCTGCCACCCTTCATGTGCTGCTTGACGAACTGCGCAACGGATCAAAGTTCCATCCGCACCGGAGGCATAGCTTCCTGCTGGTCCCCAGGATGGGTCTGCCGTTGGAGAGGCCATATTTCCGCATATAACAGCACGGGCCCGATGTTGGCGAGATCCTCCCTTACGCACGCATACCATTTTTCCAGGGATCAATTCTGTTCCTTCCGGAAGCTCTTCACGGGCCATGGGATGTACAGCTTGGGTGTCATGCACAAGGACATTGTATTCATACTGAAAGGCGGGAATCCAGTCTTGAGGGTGGTCACGTACTTCATGCAAAGGTACCGTGATGGTCTGCAGAATGTCCGGCTCTTGCGCTTGGAGGCTACAAAGATGCACCCGAGTGTCCCTTTCCACTCGGCCCAACCTGATCAGGTTATCCTCCAAGTCATCCCTCCAGCCCACAAACCATTCCACCTCCAATCCCGACTGCGCTCCCTAGGCACATCATCCACCAAATTTGACAGTTGTTTTTGTAGCATCCTGTGTTGCCACTCCCATGTGTCCTTCACCTGGTCCATGTCTAACCATCGCCCCTTGTCCCCCATCTCCTGTTCCATGGTCCTTCCAGCGGGTTCCACCTTCATAGCACGAACTCCTGTGGCCGAGGCTGCTGTTGAAGATCTTGGGAACTTCTCCGGCGAATCCTTCCATAGCTCTGAAGTTGATGTACTCGGCCTCGAAATTGTCGACGATGAAGAATACTCCCGCCCGTGTTCGGTGCCCCCTTCAAGCATGGAGTATCTCCCAACGGTTGTTTGCCTGTCATTCGTCGATGAGGTTGTCCAGGTCGATCATCTTCTTCCAGGTGTAGTTGAACCACTTCACCACGCGGTCCTTGTTGAATTCGAAGCTGTTCTCCTTCCTCGTTCGTCTGCACCGCTTCGCGTACATGTAGTACACGATCATCCTTGAGCTGTACCACCCATCCACCATTCACCAAGTGGCTGGGACATAGGATCATCGCATCCGCGAACGGTGCCACTAATCCTCCACCTTTGTGCCATTTCTTCACCTTGACCAACACCCTTCCCCTGTAAGGCAGCATCGGAAGGCAAGGCGCCCCTAAAGCTTCCAGCTGTTTATATCTTCGCTCCGTGGCTGCATATCTGAAGGCGTCCGCCCATGACGTCACGTCAGTTCTTTCTCCGCCAGGTGCAATCGAACCTTCCTTTTGAGTTGATGTACTTCAGATTCTGCATGTCCATTGGAGGCTGGGTCGTCCCCTGCCGTTGTGGTAGGAACAATGCCATTTCGAGCACACCATGCCGTCATTGGCTTCGATATTAGCTCCTTAGCCCTGTCGGAGTGCAGCCGGTTGATGTAGATCCCCATTGCCTTGAAACCTGCCAAGGCCTTCTGCATGGCCGTCACCACTTCGTCTTGGGCTCTTGAGGCGATTGGCTCCACATGCACCACATGTTTCACCGGCACGCTTTTGAGGCTTTCCTCCAACTCCTTGGGAAACTGTTCCTCCTCGGGTGTTTCCTCCTTTTCCAAGTCCACCTCCCCCGGTTCTTCATCTTCCCATGGAGGTGGTCCTTCTTCCGGTTGTCCTCGATCATCAGCCCCGCCCTCCTCTTGCTCCAGAGCCTCCTGATCTTCCATGGTCTCCTTCTTGTCTTTGCCAAAGTCTGGAACCAGCGCCACTGCCACCAAGGCATACTTCATGTAGTGACTCGTTGCCAGATCCTTCGCTCGAGGTAGAGGTCCCACGATGTCCACCGACATAGACCACGCCGAGGTCATAGTTTGTCCCTCCTTTCTTCTCCTGTGTGGTCGCTGTGCCCCCATTTGTTCGACGCATAGACGACAATCACGTCGGAAGGGGGTGTGTCCTTGTCGGAAGTGTTGGGCCCATAGTTCCTTCTCCCTACCTGTGAGCGCCTTGGCAATCCAAGGAACTTGTTGCAACAACTTGTCCATGTAGATCTTGAGAGATGCCCATACCGCCGCCCGAAATCCTGGAGCCCATAGTGCCCATGACCTTGACTGTTCAATCCTGTCATTCAAGTTGTCGGCCAGGGGTTCATCTTGTCCAGTAGGGCTTCTCAGCTCTTGTAACTCTAGCATGTTGGGCAGGTTTGTGATGATACTTGTAGGCTTCTTTCGACAGTGTCCCATCGGACGTTGATCAAAACTGATCACATTCATTCCTTCTTCAGATGCCAGATCCTGAAGTTCTTCCCAGCTCCAAAACGAAGGCATCATGCTTCCCAGTTTGTTCTTTCCCGGGTCCTCCGGACTTTCCAACAGGAACCCCGTTGGTTCATCTCCCAGGCCATGACGTAGTCGAGCTTCCTCCGCCATGTAGAAGATCCCCAGTTGTTTCAACACCAGGGCCGTGTCATGATCTGCCAGCCGCTGCTCTCCTGCACTTAGATGAGGTAATCCAAAACGTCCTTCTCCACGATCACGTAGTGGCCTCGGTCCTGGTCTCTTGAACCTCATGCGCGAGACAGTGCGGCAAGGCGGTCCTCCCACCACACATTTGATGGCCCCTTTTCTGGCCAACTCCGTCAGGAAGCCCCATAGTTTTGGTCCATGTACATCTTGGTCTTTTCCTTTAGTGATGTCCAGGGTGATCACGTCCCAACCATGAGCTTCCATCTCCTTCCATTCCTCCGCCTTCTCCCCCGCATAGAGGTGAAGTAGGATTTTCTTCGACTGTTGTAGCCGTCGTCGAACACTTCTGTTCCACGGCAATGGACTTGATGAGTTGTCTGGAGTTTCCGACATGTAGCGAAACACTTGGGTAGGGACTTGAGGGAAGCGCTTTTGCCACCACATCATAGTGTCCCCATCCAGATTCTCCTCTTGGTTCAAGTCCTCCACCTTCTTTCGCTCGGCCGGGCCTCCTCCTCCGCCACCACGGGACAACCATCGCGTAGCCACGAAGCTATCTTTCCACGTTTGGGATGCACTACCACGCAGCCATTGCGGCTCCATTGTAGTTTGTAGCCCAGCTCAATCAGCCCTCTCATAGGAACAATAGGTTCAATGTGCCCCTCCACCAGAATAGTTCCAGTCACCGGATGTTGTCGAAGCCACACTCGTCCATGGGCCAGATCCACCGGGACCTCCTCCGCCTCCTCGATTTCCTGGCGAGAACCTTTTTGAAGTGGATGGGTTGCTCCTCCGTCCAATCATTCCCTCGTCTTCCATAGACAAAGGCTCCAACGATTTGCACTGCACCGCCATGAGTCGAGCTCTTTGGAGGGACTTCAACAACGCCGATGTAAGTAGGCGCATCCTCCACCGATGTTCTTGTCCCGGATGAAGTGGAAACATTGGCACCCTCTCCCGGACTGCCGCCTGAGCTTCCCCCCTTGACCTTCGCCACCTTGACTGTCTCCTCCCCCTTTCCCTCTTTTTTCAGGAATGGGCACGACGTCTTGCTATGGTTCAGGCCTGAGCAGTTGAAGCACCGATTTTCCTTTGGACTCAACCTGCAATGCTTGAATTTGCAACGGTCCCCACGCCGACACCCCTTTTCGGTCATCCAAAACCTGCAGGCGTCTTTGTCTCCGGCACCGCCTTCCCGAAGTTCACCACCAGCTGTCCCCGTCGAGGTCACAGTCGAAGTCCCCGATGTAGGTTGAACGGCCACTGCCTTCAGTGATAGTCCCTTCCCTCCACCAGTGCCCACGCCCATCGACATTTCCTCGGCTTCGGCTTGTAGGTGCTCCGCGAAGATCTTGACATTCTCAAGGGTCGGACGAGTGTCCACCATCAACTGCTGCCGACTGGTTGCCAATCGGTATGCAACTTGCGCTCCAGACTTAGCCAAGTGGTCCGAAGCCTTCACCAACACCCCTGCCAATATCACAGGGTCTGGAAGCATCACTCCCAGTTCTTCCGAACGGCTCCACCACCTCCTCCACGTGCGGATGCCCTGGGCGACCTCCAGCATGTTGTTGGTCAGCTTGAGCTCCGTCAAATTTCGGATTAGGTTCATCCGCTCACATTGTCCTCCAGGTTGAAATTTCACATAGAGGATGAACAACACCTGAGCTACCGTCATCTTCCGAGTCGTGACGACCTCATTCTTGACGTTCTCAGCACCACCTGCAGCAACAGGCTCAACATCTTACGCTCCGTGCGAGGCCATTTGTTCGCCTCCTCCAAGCAGACAGGACCCAGACGAAGTCGTTGGAGCGGATCCGCCGTCAGCCATTCCTCATAGGCCTTGGACACGCTCTTCAAGGCCAACTGCCACCATTGACTTGCTCCCGGGCTGATCTCCGACACAATCGGCTCCAGCGTCGTAAGCCAGTCTCCAAACGCCAGCGAAGTTGTTTCAAGGCCCAACACCGGCAATTCCACTGACCGGGTTTGATCACCCAGTGATTCCTCTGGAGCCACCCATGCATTTGGCGATGTAGATGGACCAGGACCTCCATTTGGAAAAATGCCGCACACCCCATTGCCCCAAGGAAGTTGTCCAGGTAGACCGGGAGGATAAGGCCATGGGTAGGCCACAGGTGTTGCACCCGGAGCCATGTGTCCCACATTCACGATCGGCGCCGTCACCGTTTTCGTAGCCTGCAACTCTCCACCACCTTGAACTTTGCCTCCAGGCGCTTCCACTGCGGACTGGAAAGACGAGTTCGAGCTCGGCTGACCCAACTTTTGTACTTCTTCTTGAAACCTGACCTCCCCCTCTTGTAGACATTTTGCACGAAGTAGTTCCACAGGATCAGGTACTCCACGACTGCCTTGGGCTTGATCATGTAGTTCCCGTAGTTTTTCCGCTGTCCATGGATTGACCGGCGAACTCTTCACCGAACCCTTCAACTCTTCCCCAACCCTTCGTTCAGGGAGATGCTCCTGCACGGCCAGTCCACCACTAGCCACTGGTTCTGCCTCCATAGATGTTCCCCTCATAGATCCACCGGCTTCACGTTGCCCCGGCAAGATCGGCATTTGTGATTGGCTTCCTCTCCCCCCCCCACATTCCCGGCAAAGGCATTCCCAAACCGGCCAACATCCCCCAGACTTGCTCCTGGACCGGCTGCAGCAAGCTCGGCGCCCCACCACCACCTTCATGCCCTCCGACTTGTCCGCCAACATGGTGTCCAGGTACAGGAGGAGGTAGTGAGCCTGTAGGCAAAGGAGGAACCACCGGCAAGAGGCTCATCGGCGGTCCTTGAGGTTGTCTCGGGACTTCACGATCTCGGTTTTCGATCGCTCGAACCTCTTCAGGTGCAGGTCGTTCCCTTGAAGCTCCAGCCGTCAGGGCCGATGAAGTCTTCCTCAACGAGGGCGTCAACATCCGACTGGGTTCTAAGCTTTGGGCTCGTCTGGCTGGCTCCGTGGTCGTCTCCGAAGCCCTCGCTTCCTCGATTAAAGCATCCAGCCTTTCGTCCGCCGTTTGTTCCCGTCCTTTCGACATGGAACGTCTTCGGCGCATGTCCATGGCGGCCAACAACTCAGATCTTCTGAGGTGGTCTTGTTGGGCTCATAACCCATGTGAGCTGAACCGCTCTGTTTTCTTGAGCCAAACGTGTACAGCGTTGTAGCTGTAGTTGGTCGGGGGCTTTATTAATCAAGAGTCTTACATTGTCGATGGGAGGATTCCGTCTATCTCCACCAAAACCAGGCTCCGAACACCACCCTGCACCGAGCACCAGTGGCAGGGAGTACCCCGACTCGCTGCGAGTGCTGGAGCTCGACGTCACGGTGCCATGGCTCCTGATCTCTGCGCTCGTGCCGTGCGCGCGGGACGTTCCGCTACACAGCTCTGATCGAGGTGTCCAGGTGATGGCGTTGAACATGGTTGTGCTTTGTTGCTTAGCATACGAACGGACTTCAGGGAAAAAGACGAGCTAAGCAGCTAAGAGCTGATCCCAATAGGTGAAGTTAAGACGTGACCCACCGAATCCACGGCCTGAGCAACCAGCACACAGCACTCAGGACCCTTCCAGCGTCTCATGTGCTGCTGAGCAAGCTGCGGTGATCCTGGCGCAGCGTCAGCTGAAGGGGCTGGAACTCTTATGCCATACCGTGGGGCTCCTGCAACCCGGCCTGAGTTACCGATTGCGTCTGAACATGTGGTGCTAGACGTCATCGGTCAAGATGGCCATCCGGGCCATCCACTTTCAACGGGTACTTTAGTACGGTGCCATGGTACGTATGTGGTGCCGCTTGGACCACGCGACACCGCGACACTCGGGGTCTCTTGGATCACTCCTAGTCCAACGATGGGTGTCTTGGACTTCGCACCTTGGTCGCCGGGGAACACCCGAGGCAAGACAAGGACCATGGGGTCATCCCCGAGAACCACCTTCAAAAGGTGGATGCCAAGGCCATGGCCTACTCCTTCGCAGTGCCACGGGTCTGCGAGATGGGGGAGGTGTGGGTTGAGGACTCGGAGGAACCGTGGAATCTTCTTAGAGGATTCCACTTTGTGAGTCTTTATGGATGTTCCCGATACAAATGCTAATTGTGGCGCTGATGATCCAATGATATCCAAGGATTAACATTCGGAACGTTATGCTTGAATTTCACCAGCCGTCTCCTAAAATTATTGCACCTTTCCTTCGCTTTTTGAGTGACATTGACCCACCCAGATACAGATGCAATTGCTACTCACTATTTGCAACGGCGACACCCTGCCCGTGCGTCGTGGCAACGCCCGAGCGTTCCTCCTGGCTTCCTGGCTTCCTCGGCGACCCGAGGAATGCGATCGGGCCTGTGCTAGTTTTGAAGCACTTCGCGCCGCTGCTGAAGTCGGGTGCGGCTGGAGATGGTGACAGGCGATCTTTGGCCAAGGCGATCTTCTACAGCGCCCGGGTGGGCTCCATTGGCGACAACGCCACAGGCGCTCGGGCACGAAGATTTCTACACTATTGCTTTTTTTGTGGGAGGAGGCTCGATTAGGGAAAAGCTCTCTCCCTTTTTTTCTGTGAATTCAGAGGGCCCGGAAATCCAACCACTTGCCTGAGGTGGCTGGTACTCCTACCGGAGCTCCAAGGCAGCTTTGAACCAGGCACAGAAGTTGGCTCAAACGCGTGCACAATCTTTTGGGACGGGACGTGTGTCAGAACGCAGGACATGTTGATGAGGGCTTCCAACCACACGCTCCTTCTTTGAGGCACTCACAGCAGTTCGAAGTTTAAACAAGGCATTCACAACAACCGAAGCCCCGCCCGATATGTACGTTTGGTTTGAAGACGCCACGTCCAAAGTGGTCAAAGCACAGAGTTTTGCTTTTGCAGTACCATTGACCTGTCACTTTGGTTTTGCATGCGCAGAGCCAGTACAAAAGGAATGTGAGTTGCCAGGGCCACAGGGGAGAAGAGGTTCACTGTGAGGATGGGGTCTGACGAAAGGGACCTGCATCTCTTTCAGCTTGGGTCACGCGAGCACAAAGCATTTTGAACAAACGTTGTCGGCAACAGTTGCCTGGTTGGCAAACTTCTGGCCTTGAGTTCTTCTTTTTGCAAAAGTATAATTTTTTGGGGACTGCGTGCGGGCCTCCAGAATAGCATTAATCGTTTTCGGTGGCAGCAGCAGTGTTTCTGGGGGCGAGCGGGGGGTGGGGTGGGCTGCACAAACTTCAGGTAAACTGTTTGCTGCAGCTAGCCTTTCACATGCAGCACGCTACCGAGCTTTGTCTTTCTTTGTGTTTTGTTCTCTCGTTGCGTTGCGTTTGACTCGATACTTTCCACATGTTGCAATTGATCCTTGAGTTTTGGATTGTGCATTGGATTCTTTACTACAGTAAGCTAGCTGACCGCCCACCCGACTATGTTTCATCATTATAATTTGCAATTGCTAACCAGGGGTTCCCTCTTCTGGTGGTAAAACAACTTCCACACTGTGCGTCCGACCTCTATCTCGGGACCCGAGGCGACTTTCTTTCTTCATCTATGATCTTGGCAAACCAGCGGTCAAAGTCTTTCACGGGCTGGTTATTTTGGGCGACGGTCACCGAGTCCTTGGTCGGAGAAGGCGACGTTGGCGGCCCTCCAAGAGGTGGCAAGCCGGTAGCTAACCCTTCAAAAGCGCCGTAGTGGGTTGGATCATCGCTCCAGGAGGCTCCAGTTCCCAAGAGAATTTCCAGGGTATATAAGCTTTTATTTTTGGGCCCAAGAACATCCACTCACTGGGAGACTGGTTCAGCCCTTCCTTTTGGAACTGCTTCTAGCCATTCGTCCAGATCCTCCGCAGCGCCTCGGTGGAGCTGCGCCGCTCCGCGGTGTGCTGCGTGGCGCTGCATCCGGGCACCGTGGACACCGACCTCACGCGCGCCTTTGCGCGGGCCAGGGCCAAGTACAAGGTGTGCCTTGGCCAAGCTGCACATCCAGTGCCTGGCGAGCTGTGAGAAGAGCAGGTCTAGGCACGAACCAGCTTTTGACATGGAGGTCAAGGCATGAACAGCGGATCAGGGAAGATTCTTTTGAATACTGTGAAGTCTTCTTTGCGATTCTTTGGGGTATTCTGTTCTTTGTCCTGGGTTCTGGGCAGGCAGTTCTTCTCAGATCAACCAAATCGTTCGCCCCCCGTAACAGTTGGCACAGTTCTCCGATGAGTTTGAGCATGGCAAGAGGGGCTTTGACTGAACAGTGGCTGGGACGGGGCGTGACTGCTACGGCAGTTGGTGCAACTCGATATCCCATGTTTGCACTCAGACTCTTGCCACGGCAGCTGGCACACTGTTAGCGGCTAGCGACAATCTTTTTCGTCACAACAGGTTTGACCTGCTTCAGTTCTCCTTGCTGTAGTCACTTTTTCGAGGCAAGACGTCAACGAAGCTGTGGGGGAGCCTGGTTCCTCAGTCCACTGCCGCCTGCACATCCTTACTCTACTTGGGCAAGAGACGCATGAGGAAGTTCGCGGTATGGGTGCCCAAGATGGAGTTCACCCACCATCAAGGCCACGACAGGTCTTCTTTTGCCACTAGGCCAGCCAGTTGAACTGGGTGCGGATGTTGAGGCTGAGAAGCATTTGGCGCTGATCGATTCCTGGAGTATGGCCGATTCGGGGCATTTCTTCGATTGGCAAGGGAAGGAAGTGCCCTGGTAGTGCGCTGGTCATGCCAGGACAGAGGGGGAGATGGGTGGGTCTCTAGACGTTGCCGATAAGTCTCTGGACGTCACAGATGCCTTCAACTTGTGATTCAAATTCAGCTGGTATCCTAGTTGGGGAGCTTCAGTCACTTGATGCATTGATGCCACCGGCTATCAGCACTGAGTCTTTTGACAATCAGGATCAAGCAAGTGATCAAGTCAAGGCAAATTAGTAGCTCTCGGACAACCTTGCCACATGAAAGCGCTGCAATTCAGTTCACTCAGACAAGACTGACCCACCAGTGATCAGCATGAGGGGTTGGGCTCATCCTGTTCCCGGTTGCGACCAACAATCTCAGGGTCACACAACAAGTCTTCCAAAGCTTAGCAGATTACAACTCCCAAGTGAGGGGAGAGAGAGAGAGAGAGAGAATCATTTTCTGAACCATCGCCCTTAGTTTCTTTCCATTCCTCTCCTCCAGTCTTTTCTCAAGTCAGTTCTGCTTCCCGAAGCCCACCACTTCCTCACCTCCGGGACGGCACCGCTGGACACTGGACACCGGCCATGCCGCTCTACGGGCTGCCCGGGCTGCCGGGCGGGAGCTGCGCGGTGGCCGCGGGCGCCTCGATGATTCTGTGCACCTCGGGACTGGCGCTGCTGCGTGGCTCGGTGGAGTGGAGGGTGACGCTGCGTGGCTGCCGTGGCACGTTGGTCGGATCAGAGAGGGGGGTGGGGACATGGGACATGGATGGGTCTGAGTCTAATTCTACGGTAGTGCAGAAATTCCGGTACAGTGACACTGTCTGGTGTGGGCCTCGTTTACAGCTGTTGCTTCATTTTTGGTGCTGATTCATTCCTTCTTTGCATTGCCCAAGCTGCGAGCCTCTAAGGACGGACACGGCCAAATGTGGAGGAAGATCCGAGTGAGGAAGGGGAAGGCAGGGTCGACCGTGCAGGTTCTTCTGATCGATTCCGGAGGATTCACTTAGCTGATTTTGATTCAATTCATTGATTCATCTGATTCTTTGGCTCATGGGGATTCAAAGTCCGTCCTATTGAAGCGCACCCCTCTCTTTAAACCACTTGCGGACACTTATATGGTAGAGTTGCAACATTTTCATGGACCCAGCACACTTGAGGCAGATGCACACCAATCCAGCAGAAAACCATGTGACCAGTGTTTCTGAATTCCTTTTGCTGCCAGGTTGCTTCGCCACTGGCCTGCAATTCAGTGGATGCAGACTGATACATGATGAAACCCTGTGCACTGCACTGTGCGCATGCTCTGGGTGCACGTCTCACCTAGGATGACGACTCCTGCGGGTGCCATGGCGGCAAGTCGTCCACTCACGACCGTCGTCCGGATCGGAAAGCGCTTGGATTCGGTGGGGCCGAGCGAGGCCGACCATGTTGGTGTCTTGATACAAAGAAGAGGGTGTTCTGGGTGCCAGGATTTGTGCATCCCCATCCATCCTCCATCCCAGGAACTTTCTGGGACTTCTGGGTGCTGTGCAGTTGTATGCTGGCTTGGTCCTGGGCGAGCTGCCCTTTATTCTTGGAGTGGCTTGGGAGCAAATAATGCAATGCAAATGTGAGTCCTAAAGGCCTGAAGGGTTTTTGGTTGCAGCATGTTGCATCAACATCGGTTGGACGAATGACAGTGTGCGAGGCTGTGAGAGGTGAGTGTGAAGGATGCACGTCGATCACGCTCAACTTTTTTCTACGTCGATCACGCTTCCAAGGGGAGCTGGCGAATTGAACACATGAATCGGTTCTGTGCTTTTTGACCTGGGTGTAGAGAAAGAGTCCTACAGGTCCTACTCATGTGTTCAGGTCGTCCTTGTTTCAAGGCTCATTAGGGGGGCTGTGTGATGGGTTGTTGCCCGGGTCAGAAGCGACCTGGCGGGCAAAAACGAGCACGAGCGAGACCAGACGGTTACCCTAACGCCACACGATGTATTGCAAAGAAATAGGCGAAAACTGTGACCAAAATGGGTGGTATTCAAACTGCCAACACCAAATGAAGGAACATCTTCCACGCCCTGCCTGGCTTTTTGAAGCCTTGAAGCTAGCTTCTTGCGCCGACGGGAGATTACCGAAAGATTGCAGACTGAAGGTCTCAACGGACGACGAGGGCAAGATCGTGGCATTACTCTTGAACTGTTTGATTTTGGCCGCTGAGCTGTGGCTGTGGTGCTTGGAGAAGGGGCGAGCCAGGAAGGCCAGCTTTCAACATCACAAGTCATGTTCCTCTATACCAGGCTGTGCCCATGTTAGAGGGATGCATGTGGAGGTACGTTTGTTCGAGCTGTCTTGTATGAAGACTGTTTTCAGCCATGGGTCAGTTGGCCACACCATGGGAACAACCAGCCAATGGTGAGTGATATTCCTGGACACGTGGATAATTCAGGTTTTCCTTCTTTGGGCGCTCCCCAGAGAGCACCAACGGGAGCCCAACGGGCGCCCGAGGCCTGCTGGTTGGTGGAACGCTTTTGGCTCACCGATGCTCCACTGCCGGCGATCCAGAATGCCATTTGCCTCGCGTTCCTTCGGCGGGACGTTGGCGTTGAAGAGACCACTTTTTCTTGGATTTTCCTCCGGGGTGGCCTGGGTCATCTTCGTCAGATCAAGAGAACCGGACAGACGGGCGGATCCTTCTTCAGATCTTTTCTTCGTACAGGGCTTGGACCAAAGGAGGCGGACTGAGCCAGTGGCAGATTGGTTCGGGCTGGCTGGAACGTGTGCTTTTTAATATTCAGCTCCTTCGGTTAGTCATGGCCTTCAAAGTGTTGCGATCTACTGAAAACACACAGTGGCAGCCAATGCAGTATGATTGACTTCAGGTGGTCTTTCAGGCTCTTCTGCGTTTTTGGAAGGCTAGTTATTTCTGGGAAAGGTTTATAATTTTGTTGAGATCGACGGTCGACGGCATCGTTTCTGTAGGTGCGTCCGACATCGCTGCCCCAGAAATGACCTTCCGAAATGCGGAAGGGTATGGTGGATTCAATGATCAGCTGAGAAAACAATTGATGTTCCCTGCACGCCTGGTGATTCGGGTGATGAGCTGTTTAGCGAGGAGCTTCTTGACGGGCTATTGGAGAATGTGAGGTTACAGGTTACTCGGTTACTCCGGGCAAAAGCATGACACAAGCCCAAGGCCTAGTTGTTTTTGAGGTCGTACGTGTACATATGGATATGATATAATATATATATATACTATAATATGTCATCATTCTTCAAGGGTTTTGGCTTTCTCGCGTGGATGGATCCCTGTGCCCTGTTTTAGTAGCACAAAAATGCCCCGCCTTGATCCAAGTATCGCAGGTGCTGGTGCAGATCCAAGCGTCGAGCCATAGAGTGAGATCGTTGGAGAAGCTGTTGGCTTCATTTTGGAGGGCTACCTTCCCAACCAAAAAAGATGATGTACTTGTAGAGAAATATATATCTAAATCTTATGGCTGTGTTGCACCAAAATGTTTGACTAAGCCAACTGTTAGGGTTCTTCGACCGTCACCGGGCCTGCGATCAGGATCGGCTTGGCCTCCACATTGATCGACTGGGCAGGTCCTACCCCCTATGACGACATGCGCTTGGGCTTTGCCAGCCAGATCGCAGGCGCTCCACGAACCCGAGCATGGGAGGAAGATGGTGTGGGGCGGTAGGGCCAGGTAAGGGGTTCTTGAGTTCAGCAGTTGGAGCTGGTCGATTCTCCTGGTCTTGTTCTTCCCTCCCTTCCGAATCCAATGGGACATGGCAGTCTTTGGCGGAATCGTTCAGGCTGGTTGACAGGTCCCAAGTCTGTCGGAAAGGCGGCTTCTTGGGGCCAATGTAGCCATGTTCTTCGAACATGTGTTTCATGCGCAGATGTCGGTCCCTCATGTAATTTTGTTCGTTCACCGCCTTCGTGTTCACGTCAAGAACACTGCACAGCACAGTACCGCTGTTGGATACTGACCCTGCTCAGTCTTTCACTGAGGGTCCCTCATGTAATACCCACAGCATCAACCGGGGTGCACCCGATGTGAGAAACGGACGTCGGGAGGCTGTGATGGTGGCTTCCGGTCACCCTTCATCCTCTACGTGAGCGTTTGGGTGACCGGTTTGGTCTTTGGGGTCCTGCTGCTCATTCTGGAGGAGCTCGGTCATGCGGGCGGTGGTCCGGGAGAAGAATCGGTGCATTCGGCGGTGCATCCAAGGGTCTTCGGGGTCGAGAGGAGGACGATTTAAGTTTAACATCTCAGTTGCGAGCTTTTGAGCAGGAATGTGCAAAAAGAAGTCACTTCCTTTGGCTCATGGTGAAGCTGGCAGGGAGGCAAGCTAGGCTGATGATTACATATATATATATATATACACATACAATGTATAGCTAGTACACGTCTCAAGGCTTTCTGAAGCTTTGCATGCGGTTTGCTCAAGTAGCAGCTGTGTACCTCATGGGATGATAGTGTCATTTTGACTCTCGTGACTCTGGTGTTTTCCAGGTCAAATGAAGCTTGAAGCAATGGCCTCATTGGTGGTTCATCCGGCAAAACCAGCTCCAGCAACAGCCCAGCCTAGTGCCTTTGATTTCCGCTCCAGGAGGGCTCACTCTTCTCCAGCTGGCAGTGGGAAAAGGGCCTTGCCGTCCGACAGAAGGCGCTGCCGGTGGTCTATGGCCTGGCCACCTCCATGTCGTGTGTGATCTTTGCGACAGGCGTGGGGTGCGAATTGATGGTGCCTCAGACGGGCTGTGGCACCTCCACTTTCTTGAGGGTTCTCGGCGCCCTTGATGTCCTTACTACTAGTAACAAGAAGCTACTAGGGGCTCCTGGCATCGCTACTAGGAGCAAGGACGCTACTAGGGGCTCCTGGCATCGCTTATGATGTCTTATGGTCCTATGGGTCGATGATGTGAAGTTGGAGTTTCCCGTGCACCCTGAAGAGGGTGTGGGGTGTCGATGTTGGAACAACTTGGGGGGAGAGAAAGGGGCTTGCGCTGACCCAATGAGACGTTCAGGAGTGATGTGGCAAGTCTGCCCCCCCACTTTTCAATTGTTCTTTTTTCCGCATCCTTCCACCTTCGGCTGCACTGAGTTGGCTAGACTCTAGACGGGTGTGTTTGCTTTTTGCCCTTTCGATGTTGATGATGTTGGGACCTCAGAAGGCAGTTGCAGGGTAGTTCTGGTAGGATGCATGTTCAATTACAGTTGACAAGAGTATTTGTGTAATATGATGTAGGTGTAGTGTAATGGACCGGAGCCACAATCAGTGTCAAAGGACATTGGACATTGGATACATTTGGTACTTGGTTCCAATTCCCCCCCGCCCGTACTGCGCCCTCAAACGCAGGCTCTGCGAGCAATGACTTCAGGTGGGTCACAGCCGGAGTGCTTCTGCTGGTGGTCTCAGTGCTTTGCGCTTGGGATGCCTTGTGGTGTTTGGACATGAACCTGGCCACCTTTGCAGCCCTCTTCCATGGACCTTCGGTCGTATTCAGCTCATTCAAGAGCACCGCCAAGATTCGCCATGATCTCTTGATTCGGAAAGGTTAACAAGCACCTTCTGAAAAACACATTACGACCCTGGACCTCAGAAACAGGGCTGCGGCCAGTTTCCGTTTCCTTGAGTGACTTGAGTGGGTTCAACACCTTGAAAACAGATCCAGCTGCGACCAGCCAGAGGGTCACCTCTGCTGACACCTCTGGTTACCTTGGCTGACCGAGGATTCTCCACGGCCCTACGAGCCATCCAGAACCATGCGGTCTTTCGCGATCTGCGTTGGGACCCTGAGGATGCCCAAGGGCTCTTGGCCGTCTACGAGACTCCGGGCCTCCAGATCTTCATGCCCCTTGCACCAAGCGACCGGGACGGGCCTCCGTCCGTGGGTTCGGTGGACACCTGGGGCACCCAGCCGACCGGAGGTTCGGTGGCCTCGTCGGATCGTGTTTTCCGGGTGATCTTCAAGATCTACCATTTCGGGCGTGTCTCACTGGAGGTGTTCATGATTTCTCCCTGCGAAGCCTTCGACTTCACTGCCCAAAGATGTCCGAGTAGCACTCGCAATCCCAAAGACTCGTCTTTTTCCCCCCGTGCAGTCGGTCGTCCGTGGGGATCGTGGCTTCGAAGATGTGATCCGCCGGATGTTCGGCCATGTCAATTTCAGGGCATGCTCCCGTTTGAAGTCAACGTATTGAGAGAAATTCAGGGCATGCAAGGGACCAGCTTTTGGGGAAGCTCGGATCAGGTTTGGGATGCTGCTGATGTTCCTCTCCCTGCAGTTTTACTTGGCCACGTGCCATTGGACAGCTTCCTGACCACCATTTCGGCGCTCGGGCGACGGGGTTTGGTACTTCGGAAGCAGGTTTGGCCCCAACTGGGAAAGTGGGATGAAAGAGGAGCGGATGTGAGGGATCCCTGCTAGACTCACTAGACGTCCATATGCAGCATACAATCAGCAAGTGCAGCATACACAGATGGGTCCCACTTGGGCCGCCCGACCAACTCCGAGGAATGGAGAGCGAGTTCCGAGACCTCGGTGGGCGGCTCAGGGGAAGGCAGGTCTCAGGGTGCACATGGACAAGCTCTTGGACAGCGTATTGAAGGGCCCTTCAATCAAGTTCAGAAAAGCAAAGGCACCTTAGGATCAGGATTTGACCCCTGAACTTCAAGCGGGTTCAAGACCCGGTCCTTCAAGTGCCAGACCCTTTTCCTTTAAGGAGAACGGGCACCTCTACGATGAAGTGCCCCTGGCCCAGGGAAAGATCAAGGACCTTCTGCAGTTCCAGTTTTCGCCGATGCGAACGTAATTTCTGTCCTGAGGCTGGTAGAGTGGCCGTTTCAAGTATAAGTAGTGGTGCCATATTGCCAAGACTACCCTCACACAAACCCCTGTAGAAGAAGAATTCTCTTCCAAAGACCCGTGCTTCACACACATACTCATGCATAAACAGGAATACTCCGGCACGCCGGACTCCAAAGTGTCCACGAGCAGGATCATGATAGCGAGATTGAGCCAGAGGAGATGTGCGCCTCATTTCGCCAGACGTGCAATGTAGGCCGTTGATGAGTAAGACCCCCCGGGACTGGGAGATGTAAAAGCATTCTGGTTGGGGGGGTTTGCTTCATCAACCGTTTACACTAAAGGGCACTACGTACGGGTGGCAGTCCCCGCCATGGCGCTACGGGGTCAACCGGGGGGCGGTCGTGAAGCCTTCAGATGGGTCGGAGGGCAAGTGAAGCGAGAAGAGGAGCCTTGAGCTGGTGGGGATTGAAACTGAGGAGAAACAGGTGATATGTTTGGAAGCCAACCGACATTTCCGGGAACATTTTGGGCAGCTGCAGCGGATATTGCGCCACTTCCATGATTGATTCCATGAAAATAATATTCAATCGTGATGGGCCGGCTCTATGCGATATATAATTAATTACTAAACAAAGGCCAGAAGAACCCTTCGTCGGAAAGACCCGGCAGAGTGTTTGACTATATATACACTTTGCGACTTTGTGTCTCAAGAACGATTCAGGTCGTGAAAGCCATTGGTGGCAGTGGGTCTTGCTACCGATCTGTATGACTTGCCAGATCATTGGCGTGCATGTGCCCCTGATCTTCACAGAGACTTGGCAGCTGGTTTGACCCGCAAGATCTCAGCTTTCAACAAGGCAACGTAGCACCGCACTATGTATACATAGGCATAGGTGGATATGAACTGCCGTACATAATGTGTACTCCTTGGCTATATCCTTAAGACGCATCTCAGGAGTGTATCTTCCCCAATCTGACCTGGGTCCAAGATGACCCGAAAGGCTACAAGATGTCACAAGGCGGGCTGCACTTGGGGGTTTCAGATCTATCACGCTAGCCGCTAGCCTCTCGATGGTACTGGAATCGTGTCATTGTGGATTAAATGTATTTGGGTGCTGGGGGTCTAAGGATTCGAGAAAACAACTGAACACATTCACTGTCACGGTGCTGGGGGATTCAATTCTGTTACCTATGGTTGATAGGCGGGCCGCGGTTCCCAGGTTTAGGGAAGGCATTGAAAAGCCTCAGCGATCGGTGGGTCAAAGGGGCACTGGCGATCACGTTCGAACGCGCCGTCTTCGGGCCGGCCCGAAGATGAACTCATGTACGAACAGGTTATGGCTTTGTAGCCTAAAGATGTCTAAAGTCCTTAGTATAACGATGGTTGGTCGGCAATTGCTTCACGTTCTCCCAAGAAAGGTGGTCCCTTCGATTGACCCACCTCCGACGGAGGCGAGTCCTACATAGATGTCATTCGCTGGCTCTACCAGCGGCGCTTGCCTTGCTCCGCCCTCGTTGCTGGATTCACTGTTGGGAGGGATGGCGTCGAACGGACGAACACATTTGGGATAACTTTTCGGACGAACGGACGGAGTATGAAAACACGGAAAGGCAAAACCAAAAAATGTATCAGATGGCTCTCGCGCGGAAATTTTGACACCTGTCGCATCGTGGGCCTACGGACACTTTAGTGCCCACGGCAGGGGAAAACAACACAAAAAAAAGGGATGGCGTCGAAAGGTCGTAGGAGTCAGTCTTCAGATTATTCGACACATACCGAGGTGGCAGCATACAACGCCATGCTCCTTCCGCCTTTCCAGTTCCTCTTGCAGCCAATCTGCAGAAAGAATGTCACGATCAGACCGGGGCCAGGAATTTGCACTTGCAGCATCCAGTAGATTGAACAGAGTCGAGCTGCAAATCCCTGATGCATGCAGTCTATATTGCAGTGATTCTTGAATCACCGTGAACCACCCAGATAACAGGCTTCTTGGACATCATTTTTTGAACGAATCGGCTGGGTATGAAGTTCGACGCTGGGAATTAACACCAAACGCACACACTGGAGGGTTTAACATTGGGCGCGACAGGCGGCACCAGCTGAGATGCATCAGGAGGGTTGTGACCAAGGTAGAACTTCAAGTGCTGAGGATTTTTTTCATCCTGCTGCGGCCTCGCTTTCTTCCATCTGAACTTCGTCGCTCCATGCAGACACTTGGCCATGTTTTGAGCGTCCCATCCCCAAAGGATTTTTGGAGCCTTCTGTGGTTGGAAAAATTGATGCACCCCCAAAATTCTTTCAACACGCTGATGGTGCATGAAGCCTACCCAGCGATCTTCAGGATCATGTCTACTCTCTCTAGCGCCCCTCATCCTCTTCCAAACACGGCTCACAAGCTGTCCGTTTGGACTGCTATAAGGAACTATGTCATGACCCTGGCACCAATGCGCTTCACTCAGCCATCCATCATGATGTTGGTGGTTGGAGTGGCCAGCCTCCCCATGGAGAATCAGCACAGAGAAGCTTGTCACATCAATAGATGGTGGTGGGGGGTCAGGAGTTAGAGCATGTCAGAGGTCACACCATCCATAAGGCTGAATCGGATGACTCTTGAAGGACCTTTGACTTCTTCCCCTCATCAGAGCTGCAAAACATTTTGACGAGCACCTGTGCGGTTGTCTTGAGGATATGATGATATATAGATCCCTCTCACCCTCTCAGTCGTGTGTTCTGAAAGGATTCCCTCATCTATAGAATTAGAGGCTCTGGTGTTTTCCTATCAGACCCAAGCAAAGCCTAAACTTTCGTGGTTAGAACCTTCCAGATCGATCGCTTTTCGCCAAGGACAACCTGCAGTATGGCGGGCACTTCACCAGCTTCTCTTTTTGAATGAAAGTCTGTCCAGAGAGTTGAAGATCCATGCGTTGGGGGTGCTTCGGGGTGGCTGCAACAGATTCAGCTTTGCAACAGCTCCAGGATTTCCCTCGGTCTGAGGGGTGGGCCCCAATCGTCGACCAAACTTTGTGTGGCTTGTGCCGATCATCAAAATGCACCTGGACTTTCCACAGGGCATGGCCAGCTGCTGGGGTGGCTGGCTGGTGGGTTGGGATCCGCCACCGGGCTGGCCCTACCCGCACTGCTGCAGCTGCCCCTTTTGTGAGGAACAGTTTGCCTTTGGGAGGCACTTTTGGGTCTGTTGCCCGGCTTTTGCTGCTAAACGCGCACCTCCCTTGAAGGAGAGCATACAATTTCTTCATGTTGGTCCCACCAACCTAGGGTCACTGCTAAATCAGGTTCGGTGCTTTGGTCCGCGGCGACGACACCCCCAAAAACGAGCTGCGGTTTAACAGTTGTCCGAAGACGGGCACCTCGTGCAAAGGTGCTTCCTACACCCGTTTTGTGCAGTTTGATTAGGCACCCATTTTGTTTACCCAGTAGCCCCTCTTTCACTCATCGTTTGCTGTTTTGCAACCCCTTTTTGTGATGCGGCTTTGCGCTGCATGCGGGAAAGTCTTCTTATTAAAGAATGCACCTAACCACCTATGGGACCTACGTTCATAGGTTGGTGCATGCAACTGTGTGTAAGTTTTCTATGGTGGGTTTGCATCGCAGTGGGCTCACGCAAGACTGCCAACAGTTTGGAATTTCGATAGCAATCGCCTTCGTGTTGGGAGCCGCTTGGTGCCCTCCTCATTGGACACTGAGGTGGCTACTGGTTCTTCATGACCTACTGCCTCACAAACCTCCTGCTTGCTTGGTCCGTTCAGCCACCTGAGCTGCCGGCTGAGCGCAAGGCACCTGCAGTTGGGTCAAACAGCCAAAGGGTCCTTTTGCCTGCTGAAGTTACGGAGAGTGCATTGAATTTGTTGGAAGTGCTTGTCCTTGCTGCTGCTTCACACGCGGAAGGTGCCTGCAAAGAGACTACGCAGGGACCCACTCTTGCAGATGGAGTTGAAGAAACATTGGAGCCTTGCCTGCACTGAAATGACAATCCTCATCGAACCAGTCACCCTACCATGCAGGGCCTTTAGAATTTTTTTGACTGAGCCCGTGGGGTGGTCAAGTGAGGGATTTCACGTGGATTGACCGCCGGTTTGGCTTGGATCCAAGCATTTGGCACCTAGACCTGGGGCCCGATCACTCACCATGATGCACGAGAGCCGCTCCATTGAGGGTTCAAAGAGATGTAGCCGGTGTGATTGAACTCCCTCCTCTCTCTCTCTCTCTACGTATCATATCCAGCCAAGAACAATTGGAAATAGGTCAGGGTGCGGAGATGTTTCTCAAGAATGAGTCATGTTTACAGTTGTCTTCCAGATTCTGGGAGAGGGAGGAAGGAAGGCAACTCAACCACATGGCAGCAACTCAGGCGCACCGAGGGCGAGGATCAGGACGAACTCTTCGATGAGAGTCTTGGTGGCTCACGAGCGTCCTTGGCCGTGGAGGTCTCAGATTGACAATTTCTTTGCTACTATGAGGTTGGAGGCCATCGCTAGTAGGTTGGAGGCCATTGCTACTAGGTTGGAGGCTTCGATGGCCCAACACCAAGCCCAGCTCGCCTTCAAGGTCTCGGGCACCTTCGCTGCGGGGGTGGGTGTGGCGACGTGCATCTGGGTGGCCCTCACGAACCCCTACTTGGAGTTTGAATTTCGGATTGCAGGTGTCTTGGACTGCCAAACTCTGGTGTTTCAGTGGGGAGCTGAGTGACCATCTTTTTTTAAAGATAAGCGGTTAGTTCGCCCATTGGAACAGTAGTATATCAGTGGGCACCGAGCAGTGACCAGTGGTACTGAGCAGTGGAAGTGAGCTCGAAAAGGCTCAAGGCTGTCCCACCTTTCAACTCCAAGAGGTGGTGGTTTTTCCTGAAGGCTTCGAAGTTGGCGATGCCAACACATGCAAACCCTGCAGATCACGGTTGATGGGGATCCGCCCAACGACTTCTGTCCGGGAGTTGCGGGGGACCGATCGATGTCATCTACACCGTCGATCCGCCCCGTGTTGTCATCGGCAAACTGCAGGTGTTGTGATCCACAGGGTAACTCCAACCGTGCTGGACCTGTGGTACAGCATTGGCTCCGTGAACCGCTTCCTGATGTGCTACTGTGCGGCCACGCTGCCGCTTGACAACGAGCAAATGAGAAGAGGTGAGGTGGTCCTGAATGGTTGATCCAGTTTCCTTGCAGTTGGGGTCCTGAACTTGGATTGGAAACCCCGGAAGTGAGGATATTGTCAGCAGTTGAGATGCCTGCGGGAGATGCAAACAAGATGTTCTTTCAAGGCGCACTTGATCCAATCATCCAATCATCCAATCATGATCCCTGGGGTCAGGGGCCACATCCCTGGGTTTCCAGCGGCTGAGTAGCAGCCTTGACTCTCACCAGTTATCCAGTTGCAGATGGCGGATGAAGTGGAAGTAGGTCTTCACCAGCAGATCGGCAAAACTAAGGATAGTTTTCCCACTACTTTGGCTTGTGTCCTGGCATCTTCAAAATTTGTGTATTGGTGAATCCGCTCCAGTGCTTTGCAGCCGGGTGCTCTAGCCAGAAGAGGCTTGTAGAGCTACTGGCTTGTGTTTGAGAGGGACGAATTGCCGTGTGTGAATCGCATCAGCACAGCCGCGAGGTGTGACCCTGGGCTGCCCGATTTTCCTATGTTTACGGGATTTTGTCGATAAAACTGGTCAATTGGTGGGATGTGTGAGCAGTCCCTGCTTTTCAAGTTGAGCAACCCTGGGCAGGATGTGGCCCCCAGTCACTTTCCCTCTGCCAGATGACAAGAGGCCCTGTTTTTGAACATGGAGCAATCTAGCCCCAAAACAGCCCTCAACCCCACGATCTGAACAGGCCCTGAACACAAAGGTGAACAAAAGGTGAATACTTTTGGTGGCGAGATCCCGGAGGACATTGTTTGCCGATAGGGCTTTGTGATAGTTTGTGATCTTGGTCTGCTTGCTTCTCGTTCAGGTCCTCCTTGGCCGTCGCCTCGCGTCGGCACGGCGCCCGTGGCTCGAGCCGCTGCTGCGGCCCTTGGTGACCCGGCCCTGTTCGGAACGTCAGTCGCCGTGGTGGTCCTTTTTCAACGTGACCAGGGCTCACCGGACTGCAAAAGAGGCCGTCTCAGATGTGGGCAACGACGTCAACTGGGGCCCCGCGCTGAATGAGCATTTGATTGGAAGACATCAAGTTGCAGTTGTTAACATGCGTCTTTTCCCCCAGATAGCGAAGCTATGGGGTTCTTACTTCAAAAATCTTCAAAATAACAATGAGTTTCCCGTGCGCGCTTTCGAGGCAGGTTGCTGGTGCTGGGTGCCGGTGCTGTGAGCTGTGCACGTGGTGGAGAAAGGGTGCCGGTGCTGGTGCTGGTGCTGCGAGCTGGTGGAGACAGGGTGCCAGTGCTGGGTGCCGAGTGCCGGTGCCGTTGCTGGTGCTGTGAGTTGGCTGTGGACGTGGTGGAGACGGTGTGCGTATGGTGGAGACAGGGTGCCGGGTGCCGGTGCTGGGTGCTGGCTTTGTGCCTGGTGGAGAGGATTTTGTTCGCCAGACAGGCTGTGCGCGTATTATTTCAAACGACAATGAGCTGGCTGTGCGCTCGAGACAGGCCGGTGCCGGGTGCTGGTGCTTGCTGTGGTGCCGGTGCTGGGTGCTGGCAGTGTGCATGGTGGAGACAGCGGGCACCAGTGCGGGTGGTTAAGACTGCTGCGCGCGTGGTGGAGACAGGGTGCCGGGTGCTGGGTGCTGGTGCTGGGCTGTGCTGGGTGCTGGTGCTGGTGCTGGGCACCGTGAGCTGGCGTGCCGGTGCTCGGTGCTGGTGCCCGCTTCTGACAGTGAAGTGATAACAACCACCGCTTCTAACAGTGAAGGGTAACAAACTGCCGCTTGCAGCAGTGAAGGGCGACCAAGCGCCGCTTCTGACAATGAAGTGCCGGCATCCAGGGGCCGCATGAACTTATGCACGCAACATCATACGGTGTCGTCGCTTGAGCGTTCTTTGTCTATTAGCGCTGTGGGGTATTTACACTCTTCAGGTTTAGTTTTGGCCGACAGCTGTGTCAAGGGCTGTACTGTTTGCGCGCATACTTTTGTACGTATAATGTTCTATGCACAACATCAGGCTCTCAACCGACCATTGTGTTAGCATGTTCCAGCATGCTACACACACAATAGTCGCGGATACTGCTTGGCCTTGGGCGAGTGAAGCCTACGGGCTGTGCCGTTTGTGCGCATACTTTTGTGCGCTAAACTTATACGTGCAGTACAAGATCATACGGCCGTATCGTTCTGCAGATCGTTGCTTCAAGCATGCTACAACGTCAATAGTGGCGCTGGAGGATACTGCTTGGCCTTGGGCCAGTGGCACTTACGGGCTGTGCAGGTTGCGCGCATAGTTTTGTGCGCATAAAGTCAAACATGCAAAATCATACGTTGTTATTCCCCAAATAGGGATAGCTATGGGGCTCTTGCTGCAAATAAGAATGAGCTGGCTGCGCGCGCTTTCGAAGGGTGTCGGTGCTGGTGCTGGTGTTGTGGTCCTGGGTGCTGGTGCTGTGAGCTGGCTGAGCGCTCGTTTAAGACGGGCGGCGGCGGTGGTCGGGTGCTGGTGCCGCTGCCGGTGTTGTCAGCTGGCAAAGTGCACCGGTGCTGGTGTCAGCTGATTGTGCGCGCCGTGGAGGTGCCGTAAGGTGGCTGCGCAAGCTGCGTACATTCTTGTTCCAGCCGGTCGCATGTCAACAGGTCGTGGGACTCTGCCTAGCTATCTGGGTTTATGCTGGTGTAAATTCCCCAAAGGTATTGTCGAGGTCACGTTTGTTTTGCATGTGCAGGCCCAGAGTCACTAGGGAGAAGAAGTACATTTTAAATGCGACTTTTCTTTCTGCAGCTCAGTCACCGGGCAACGGATGCCTGGTGGGCAAGCTGCTTCTTCTTCTTCTTTTGACCTCTGGGGCCTTTAGTAAACTCATTCACCTTGGAGTGGCTGAGTCCAAAGGCGGAGTCGCACACCCAAGGGTGAATGGCAAGCAGGATTTCAACACAGGGTGGTCCGAAGAAAGCGGAAAAGGGAAGGGCTCAAACGAATGAGACAAGGAAAGGCGAAGTTTTGAAGTGTGCTGCATGTGACGTGTGTACGGCTGCGTATTGTGAAACGGCTGCGCACAGGTGTGTACATTACATTGTGCTCCAGCCCATATGAAACGTTTGAAAGGGGCCCCGGTTAACGTCGTAGGCAAAAAGATGGTCAAGAAGCGGATGACTTGGCTAGCAGACCTTGGAAGAGAATAGCCAGTTGATGGCTACTACCGGTGATGGCCAGTATCGATACCATGTCTATTATATAGTGAAGTGATATCATTATAATAGGAATACATAGTCGCATGCTTCTCAGGACGTGAGATTGGACCACAATGATATATATATATATATCTCTCTCTCTCTCTGGGTGCGGTGGAGCTCTTCACTTGGCAGGGCACCATCCAAATCCACATGCAGGTGAATTCGATCAAACAGGGAGTTGACCTGCGTCCTCCAAGCGGGTCCAACATTTTGGACGTTTAGCTGAGGTGATGTGCCACATTTGGGCTGCTTCTTTGGTGCCCGGGCTGTGCCAAGAAATGCTCGGGCAGTGCCCAGCTGGGCTGCAGAGTTGTGGGCGGGGTTTGGTGGTGGAACTGCGCCGTGGGACTGGTCAGATGGTCCCGAAGTTCTGTCCCTCCATGGGCTGCATGAGGCCTTCGGATGTGAATCGGACATTCCAATCCGTCAAGGGCAGGGCTCTTGCACCAATCCGTCAAGGGGTCCTTGCGAGCGGAGGTTCTGATCTACTACATCGTGCAACCTGGCCGAATACTTCACCCGAGCGCGCGCACCGTCAGCGCGGTGCGGACTCGACTGACCTTCAAGCGGGGGAAAATCTTCCCACTTCTCAGACCGGCCAAGTGGTGCCGAGGGCTGCGCGGAACAAGAACACCCTGGAGGTCTGCGCGAGATTCCCCAACGTACCTGTGGCAGCTGCTGCCATCATCTTGATGGGTGCAGGCTCCAGCTCAGAGCCACGGTGGGAAGTGTGAGACCCAGCTCCGGCATGGCTGGGATGTATAGCTTAGAGTGTGAGCACGTTGGACATCACAGCAATGCATGTTGTGATTGATCTGCCACAATAACACTAGTAACAAGAAGCTGGTAGGGGCTCCTGGCATCGCTACTAGGAGTAAGGACGCTACGAACGGGGCTCCTGGCCATACTACGAGTAACAAGAAGCTACTAGGGAGAGGCTGTGAGCCTTCGGGCGACCGTTCACTCCGTTCACTTCGTTCCGACGTGTGGAACTCGGATCCGTCGGTGCTCCGTTCCGCCGTGTAGGCACCTTCGCCTTGATCCAGCTGGCGAAAGGGCTCCGAGGCCAAGAGGCCGAAGATGACGCGAAGATGACGCGAAGATGGGGGTGTTGGAAGCCCAATGTTGTGACCACGTTTTCTTTTTTTCCTTCCGCCTGTTTAATCCACGGCCATTTAGACCTGTTACTCCAGTCAGGCACAGCATCTGCCAGAACAGATGGATGCTGATGATGGATTTTTCCCTAGAGAGCTATGGTGTGCAGTATGTTCGTGATTGACGCTCGTTTCATGTGAACATCGGGTTTGGGCCTCGTTCGGTCCAGAGAACTCCCGCGTTTCACCGCGTTTTCTGGTGATGAACCCGCTTGACAAGCTGACCCAAGCTGACCGGAGTAGGGCCGACCTGTTTTAGGCCGACCCCAAAAGGGCCGACCCTTTTGGAAGATCTCCAGTTTACCAGGATGTGATGAACTCCGCCTCGGCATCGACATCACTCACCTCACCAGGTCCAGCCAGCTGCCCAGATGACTTTGCCGCCAGGGGGGAAGGCATTGTGGCTTGGAGGGTTCGGAGCTTAGCTGCCTGGGTTATGGCTGGAAAGCAGTTTGTAGCTAGCATTATCTCTCTGTGTAGGTTATGGTGGGTGATGTCTCTGTGTAGGTAGCCGCATTATGTTGAATTGTCGGACGGCTTCAGCCCATGTCACAAACACACACACAAACACGCTTTTTGATTATATATAGTATATTTGTACGCGCACTTGAGATTGCTGTCTGTAGATGTATGTACGACCGAGCCCGGGAAGCTCGAGAAAAAGAGAAAGTCTGAGCATATAGAGCAGCAAAGTCCATTTATACGAACCAAAAGGCCTCGAGGCCTCGAGTCAGTGCAATACAATGACAATGTTAAGTTATTATGGTAAATCCACATGAACCACCATGGAACCAAACGTGGACAGCGTGATCAACAGGGTGGACCCTGTAGTGTGCTGCCTCTAGAGAAGTCTCCGTGAAGAATCCAGGTTGGCGGACGGCGCAACCAAACCAACAGCGCTTTCACTTTCCATTTGTTAGGCTCTGCGGTGAGGTGAGGAATCTATATAATGTATTATAATGTATTTTTGGGGGGCACGGCACATGTAACTCTCAGGAAAGTCCAGCGCCGGTATGGTACGGTACCGGCCCGTCCTGCCTCCGGTTCGCCAGTCCCGCCTGCATGATGCTCGCCCTCGTCGGCTGGCTCTCGACGTGTGGCCCACAACGACCCCCAGTGCTGCAAAGCCTGCAGGACGAATCGAGCGGAAAGACGCCTGACTTGGACGAAGGGATGACACATGTATCCCCGTGCAAATTTCCTTTACACAATCAACCATCCTGGGTAACAAAAAGAGCTTCGATTTTGTTTAAAAAACATGTTCATTTCCAGGTACCCATTTTTTGGGGGTGGGGTGATTGATTATGTAAGGCCAGCATTCTTTCTTGGGGCTGTTGATTTTGTAAAGAATCGATATGTTGGTATGGATGTCAAAAGTGCCGCACTGGTGAGGGTGGGGTCCTTGATTTTATGCAAGTTTGAGGGTGGGGTGGTTGTCCAGTAGAAAAGCCCCAAGCAGTATTACAGAATCAGATTTCTCAAGCCATTAAAAGCGGAAAAATCGTTACACAATCAAAAATCCCTGCGTTCGAGCGTCTGGTGCCAATGGAGTTTGGATGAGGCCTTGCGGCAATTGAGGGCATTCTTAAGTCTTAATCCATGGACTGTCAGCTCCTTTTCCGTGCCTTAGTCATATAGAAGTTTCTTTAAAGGGCAAAGAAAGAAAGAGACAAAGAAGATAAAGTATAAATCTTTCCGTAAACAACAACATGTCGCCCATGCCGCAGGAACAACGCCAATCTCCAGAGAGAATGCCACTCTGACGGTCCATTGTCCACTGCAGTAAATGCATTGCGCAAGGTCACATATTTGGAGATAGGTGCGGAAGATTCCTTGTGTGCTGATTCATCTACTGCACTGGCTGCTGCCACCTCAATGATACTGGATGCATCAGGGAGCGATTCCAGAAGCAACTCCTCCGAGTCAAAGACCTTTGCATGACCATCCTGAAGGGGAATTGAAAGGTCTGCGCTCGTTGCGCCATCCTGTTGAATGTTTCTCAGCAAGTCCTTGCATTCCTTGCCATTGTTGCTTCGGTTTCTTCCATCATGCCCATTTCATCATCTTCAGCTTCAGCAGGGTGTGCCTGAAGAGATTGCCAATCAAACTCCATTCCTCCATCACTGCAGCATTTTTGGTACATCTCCTCCAGCTTGGCCACATCCAAACCAGAAGAGAAAGCAGCCAGCCGCAAAGCAGCCTTGTATCCATGTTCGCAACACTCACGGAATTCATCTGGAGTCAAGGGAGGCAATTTCTGGACGGAATACTTTTCTGGCTTATTGGCTGCCTGTTGTCGCCGCGCTTCCCCAACATGGCCCGCCAACATCCTTTTGCGTATGCTTGTGTGCGAAGCCGACCAAAGAACTCTTCAATAGAGATCTCACTGACACGGTTTGCGGAACGCCAGTAGTCACCTTGTGTAGCCTTTGTGTAGCAAATCGTCATCGCCGTCAAACAGGTCGCATGCTGCAAATTCTCTTTCGTCTGTGGTGCCAAAAAGCAAGCTGTCTGAGGAATCCTGGCCCGTGCTGCTGTAATTCGTGAGAGCAGATTGAAAAGGTCCACCAACACAAAGCCAGCGACGCTGTTCTCAGATCTGTCTTTGATGCTCATCCGCTGATGCCCAGCAGGACGCACACACACAAAGTCCAGATGCAACATTCAGCAACGTTTGTCACTATCTCTCAATGATTTTCAAGCGTTGTCCAAGCACCAAATTCCAAGGATTTGTTCAATCTATTTGTTGATCTCTTGGATATTGTTGGCATGCGAGGTACGATGGGGTAGGTTCGTGTAAGTGATCCGTGGGACACTGCGAGAACGTGGAAAAAAAGGGATCGTATCGACTTGACGAATCTTGATGACGTCGCACCATTACAAAATCGTTAGCTTTTCTGATCCAGGTCTGAGAAATCAGAATGTGTATCCTTTTTGAGACCTCAGGGGGGTTGATTTTGTAATTGCATTCAGCCATGTCGACAGAGTGCATATGATTTTGTAAACACTTTATTTTGGAGCTGGGGTAGTTGATTTTGTAATATCGGCTGGAGAGCTGTCCATTACCTGCGTCCTGGGGGGCTTGATTTTGTAAAGCTTTTCAGATTGGCGAGCCTGGGGTGCTTGATTGTGTGGCACATTTTCCTTAAAGAATCAACCACCCCTACATACTCCAGAAATTCGAAGAAGGATACACATGTAGATACAGTAGTTCTTCGGACGACTCTACTGACCAACTGACTTCCATGATGTGGCAGAGAGATGTGATGGTGAGATGTGAAAAGACATCTACGCTTTCTTTTCTTGGTAGCAGAGAGGTGTTCCAACACACCGCTCTTGGCTGTGGGCTGCAGGGTTCTTCAATCAAGACCGACCACAACAGCGATTGGCCTGGTTGCACCGCGTCGGTTTCCGACCTCCCGACGTCGGTTCCGGCAGGATTTGAACCAGCAGTTCGTTCGACTGGGACCGGTGGCGAACGAGCACTTGTACAAAGATGTGAGCGAATCCTTCGGCCGCCTGACCTGCAGATCCAGCTGTTTTTTTTCATGTAAGCCTTCAGTCAGATGCTGATGCAACATGTGCTTCATGATGCTCTCTTTTAAAGCAGTTCTTAGCGGATCAGGGTAGGCACATGTACTTTTGAGGTAGAATTCTATGTCTCCTCAAGTAGATGGAAAAGAATGGACTTGAGTATAGCCGGAGCATTGTCCTTATTCAAAGTCAAGCGGCAGATTTGACCCCTGCTGATACCCAGTGGAATGAATTGCAACTTTTGATCAATCTTGACTGGGTGGACACCCCCTGTTGAACTGATGGGTATCTTTTGGACTCTGCCTTCATCCTCCACCCAAAAAAGGCAGATCTTGAGCTGCCTCTGACACCTCGCTTCATTCCCCACCTTTGGGAACTTTTGAAGGCCTGCGCGCAGAAGATCTTGGAAGTTCAGTGCAACATTTTGTGATTCAATGCGACCCCTCCCCCACTCTCCCCCACTCTCCCTCTCTCTCTCTCTCTGTCTGTCTCTCGCTCTGTTGTGCCAAGAAGATATGTGCGGTCTTTGTTGCATTCTTGTAGATCTATGCACCTCTTTCATGCAAGGACGCACTTTGCGCGTCGGATTCTATAATTTCAGTGGGCAATTGCCAGTCGCATCTAGAGCCACGCGTGGCAAAGCCTTCTCCAAGGCGATTGTGCAGCGCTGCAGAGGTATCAAGCTGAGCAAGGTGCCCAAGAATCGTGACACAAAGGGGAAGTTGCCAACGCAATCCAGATTTACTCCTTCATGGTGTTGCTGCTAGTATCAGAGGGCACCGCTACTAGGAGCAAGAAGCTACTAGTAGCTCCTGGCCTTCCTACCAGTAATAACAAGAAGCTACTAGTAGTACCGCTACTAGGAGCAAGGATGCTACTAGTGGTCCATGGCCGACTTCAGGGGATTCCAATCGAATTCTCACATTGCCCTTGCTCCAATTGAGATTGATTTTGACCTGGCAGGCGAGGCATCCAAGAGCATGAAGCAATCCTGCTCGGGCAGCACAGCTTTGTTTCAGAAAGAGCTTCAAATGGGCAGCCCACCACAGAGGTGCCATGGGAGCCTTCCTCGGTCGTTCTTTCTCTTGATGTTCCAAGAGTCGATGGTCGCGCTTTCGTCTGCTGGTGCGGGCAGAGTGAACTCAGGTAGCCGGGTAGCTGTCGCCTGCGGCAGAAACCAGGGATGATCACCCGACGGGATCTGACCTTTTGCAGCGGGTCATTGGTGAATTTGGGCCTTCTGGGGCAGAGCCCACTGGATCCGAATCCAAGTCCCATTTTCCATGCTCGTCAAGCACGTCGCTGCAGGCATCTCATTAAGACGGTGGTGCTGTGGGCCCAGGCGGAGATCAGTGGATCCCTTCGGAGAGATGGAGACAAAGACCCCCCTGCCCGGTGGTCCAAAAATGATGAATCAGTGGACCGGCGCTAAAGTCAATGCAACTTAGTCTGGAAGGTAGAGCCAGCGATGATGATCGTCAAGTCTCTTCCTGAAAACGCCACCGGGTGCAACCTGATGCGAAACGTCAGATTTCCGACCTCCCAGCCTCCGGTAGCTCGATCTACTCTGATGATGATGATGATGATGATGGTGATGATGATGATGATGATAAGGGCCATGAGTGTTCAGGCTCTGGTCAGGCCCAATGGCCAGAGCTAGTCGGCGGTTCTTCCTCGACGTGGTCCTGAACTACATGTTCTGGCCCTTTTCACGGTGGAGACCTTCGTGATCTCCTTGCTGCTCTGGCTACTTCTTCTGTTTTTGACCTACCTGGTCGGTTCCACCTGCCAGGGATTTCGATTCTGGACTTCAAGAGGGTCCTCCCAAGGTCACAGGAAGAGCCTAGACACTCACCGGGGCCCCAAGTCCCCGGCCAAGGCAAGCACCCTACTTCTTGTTGGGTTTACCTTTCAGATCTTCTTCGAGCACTACATGACCCAGCTCAATCCGCACTTCTTGTCTTGGAGGGCCGGGGGTTCCGAACCTGCCACGGGGTTCGGGGGAGCCAACATTAATTTGGCCCAGGCAAACCCATCTATGGCGAAGCTTAGTGGCCTAGGACCTACTCCAGCACATCTGGAACACCAAAAAACCTCGGCGCCAAAGGAAATCCCTTACTGGTGCACTCCAATGGGCTCAACTTCATGATTAGACCTGGCATTGTGGGCAGCATCTCACGGCAGCTATGCTACTGCGGGATCTTGTTTGGGGACCCTGCGGTGGCTGGTCAGGTAACAACCATGCCTACATCCAAAGTGGCTTCACTGGGGAGCCTGGCGGCAACATGATCTTCATTTGGAAAGGGTCCAGCCATCTGGCGCGGCTCTCATGGTGTGATGGGTCTCTTGGTCGCTTTTTTCCTGATCGACCGTACCTTTTGAATGTGCTGCTCGAGGTGGACTTCAACTTCCTCCAGGTCTTCGAAGTCTACTACCATCTTAGTGAGGAGGTCTCCAGTGGGCACTACTGCGCTGCCATCAATGACCAGGACTGGTGCTGGGTCTTTGGTGGCTCCCCTGTTCTGGTCAAATTCTTAGGACTTCTTCGAGTGGCTCAAGAGAACAGTTGTCTTCTTTGGCTGGTCTGCACTCCTTCCGGGGGGGGCAGCAGCAGCCTCTTGGTTGGCGGACGAGTCCCTCATCTCGATTACGCCGGAGGAGGTGAACCACTTCATTCATGACTCTGACATCAACGACAACTGGCATGGATCCGGGCTGTACCGCCTTGACCATTTGGACGCCTTCTTCCTTGTGAACAATCCCTGTCTGTACCAGACGAAATGCATCACTTGTGGCAGTTGGCCATGGGACATTGATGACACCTTCCTGCGGTACCTCGAACCAGATGGCAAGATGCCGGTCCCTTGGCTGAAAGTGCGCAGTGAGCTTCATTTCAAGAGCACGCCCAATGAGGTTGTGCGCCCGCTTTCCTTTTTATGGCACGGGTCTGAAGACCTGTCGCCCCTGCTTGAGGCAGGTCTCGATGCTGCATTTGATGTTGAGGTCCCAACAAAAGGACCGGCTCGAGCATCTGCTCGGCTGCCATACCTGCTTGCTAAGGTACAGGCCCTACAGGGCTCCAGATGGACCACCGGGTCCACGCGATCTTCGACTGAAGAGCGTATGAAAGAAAAGATGATGATGATGATGGTGATGATGATGACGATGATGCAATCTTGAGCGATTCAGCAGGATCATCAACCAAGGAGTTTTTCTGGAATTTGGGTGGGTGGAACAGCCCAAAGAACCATTGACGGATGAGTTGTCACCTCTACCACCCTCTACCCTACATTGCGGAAAAAGTGCCAAAGCAGCGCACAGTTGCTCCAAAATCCAAAACTGTATTTTCACCTCCAATTCCTACCAGGCCTGGAACAAACTCCGCCACACCACTCTTGGCGAAAGACCGGTCAAACCCCGAGGAATTCTTTGCTGCGTTCTGTCGTGGCCACGAACATGCCAGGGGATGAACACCTTGGAGGTGCATCGCGTGCGCGTGCAGCCTCCCCCGAACCCATTGGTGGCCACACAAGCTTGGCACCTGCCACTTGGTGATCGAAGGGATGAAGGTCCAGGCATTTGGGATGGACGTGCTCTATCTATCTATCTATCTGTCTATCTATCTATACATACATACATACATACATACCTATCTATATATAACTATATAACAAAATGTACATATATAACTCTATATGTACTAACTGTATATAGCTATATATATATACACATTTATGTACACATGCATACGTATATATGGAGCGATTGGTGCAGACAGCCCACGGACCAACACGTTCTGGGGACTTCGGTAGGGGTTCATACCTTTAGGAATGCCTCAAACGTGGTGATGCAGAAGGCGCAGAAAAGAGGGCCTGATCGGTGAGGTACAGCATGCGCCAAAGCCATAGACTGAGTAAAACAAAGGCTCAATCATCCCTTGCCTTCAGATTGTGCAAGAGCACGGAACCCAGCAGAATGCCACAAATGTCAGCATTGTGCTATGCAATGCGGTGGCCCTGTAGGTTCAGGTATTTGCAGCATTTCTTTATGGCAAGGCAACAGGGCCGGTGCATACAGAACTTTTCTATAGATCAGCTTTAGTTTTCGCGGAACTCTGGGTTTTTTAGTGCGCTGAGTCCACTGACCAACCAAGGAATGTCTCAGCGGCATTTAATGATTTGCATGTGGCCTGGCAGAGGGTTGGAATCGATCACGGGTTGGGTGACGTGATTCTTAGGCCAATTTGACCCTGAACTCGCTGGACGTAGTACTCCAAACATATACATTTCCATAGGGGATTCCCTTTTCTAGTTTGGGGCCCGGTGACTGAACTAGTATCAGGAGATCCGTCTCAGACAGTTTTCAATCTTCTTTGTATTGCTCCAAGGTGTTGCGGTTGCAGTTCAACAATTTTACACAGATCTCGAGGTTCCACCGCTGCCTTATTGCTGCCTTGAACTTGGAGATTTTGGAAAGCTGGACACCCACAGAGCTCAATTTGGACCCCGCACCATTGGCTCTCGCTCCCAGCAACCTTTTGGATCACAGATCGTCTGTGTGAGATTCTTTTTCCCAAGTGACCGGTTTCCATCATGTGGATCTCTCACATGATGCCTCACAACGCGCTGAAGGTTTTCATGAAGGTCTCGATCGATGACAAGGAGTGTCCCGAAAAGCCGACCCTCTTTTTCGAGGGCTTGGGATCATTGTTGTCTCACAGAATCCCCAATATGTGAATGAGCTTGGTGGCTTGTGCCCCAAGGGGTGTGATTGAGTTCTTCTTTGGCCCCCGAGCAAGAACATGCAGGCTTGCAGTTGATTCGCTCCGCAGGAGTGGTTCAATGGCTACATGTGCTGTGACCAGCCTTTTCATTTTACGCTTCAAGCGCCTCAGCAGAGATTTGATCACCCCGTAGGGGGGTAGCGGGGGCTTCTCCCGTATTGGACGAGCAAAACATCCCAACCCTCAGACGGATTCCTGGAAGCCTTCCGACTGTCACCTTTTGAGGTGGGCGTCTTGTGTCAGCAGCACCAGGGCTTTGAAGCCATGGAGGTGAAGTTGCTGCAGATGGACCAGGCCCGGGAGAAATGCAAAAGTGGGCTTGGAGGGAGAAAGCCAGATAGAAGCCTTGGATCGCAGCCCTCAGAATCCAAGCTGGCATGCTTTTGCAGGTGGCGTTGGCGCATGACGCCGCAGTCATGGAAGGTCCAGCTTGGGCAGCAGTGACCAGTGATGTCGGGAGGCGAGAGATGGTGACTTGGAACGCGAGAACTCCACATACCGAGTCTTGGTTCCTTCGACGGGTCGGCGTCCCAAGACAACCAGGTCTCTCGGGCCAATCGATGCGGTCGGGAGAATTCACCGCATTGAGGTTTGAGGTGGGTAGTTTGGACCGATCGAAAGTGAGCATAACTCTTTCAACGCGCTGGTGTCGGCAGCTCCAAGCCCGAAAAACTTGTGGAGGAGCTATTTCTTGGTGTGCAGTGTGCAATGCTTGAAAGATTGTCCGTGGACATTGGCCATCCGCCCTCAGTGGAACAAATTCTGGACGGCTACTGTACATGTGCCTGCAAGCCTCATTAAGTCCCTGGAACCCAAACAACTGACTGCATGCAAGTGAAGCATTTTTTGGCTGGGGCTGCCGGAGGGTTTGCCCGATTGGGACGAAACGAGTGACATGGCAACAGCAGCTACTGGACAAAAGGCTGCAGGACAGAGGCAGTTACCTCATGGGGTGAAAGAGGGAAAAGTTGGCACCAAGCTGTCTGCCCCCTCAGAAGTCGTTCATGACAACACTGTTCTTGATCATGTACAGTAAGAGCTTCCATATTTACTGGCTGATGGCAAGTTGTTGAACAAAGGGTTGGTGGAGGATGCGATGAGGCGACCGGTTGCTATCCGTCTTTAGGTCAAGATGCGTGGGAGGGGCCTTCACAACCCCTGGCTGGATCCTGTGGTTCCTAATCCAGTGGGCGATTTTTTTCCGGACTTCAAGTGTTTCATGCATGTTTGCCAAGGTGAAGCAGGTTATGGAGGACTTCCTCTCCCTCCACAATGGCCAAGCTCTCTTGCAGATGCCTGGACAGCACTCAGGGGACTCCGCAAGAGAAGGGAGAAGGGAGACCCACTGAAGAAAGCTTATTGCATTGCTGGGATCCTCACCATGCTGTACGATAAGCCACCCCCTATCATAAGTCGAGTCTTTCCCAGATAATAGTAGGTGTGTTGTCAAGAACGGCGGTGTCCTGCGAGTGCATGGACTGCACATCTACATCTTCAACGTGTTTGCGCGGTGCAACATCACAGAAAGGGGCAATTTGTTGTTCAGCTGCAGACCTTGTGACTGCTTATGGCCAGGAGATGAGATGTGGTATTGGCCCATGCTTACAGCGGTTTCGGTGAGCCTTTCACGGCCCAAGGGTCGACAGTTTTGTGTAGCACCACCAACCAGAGCACCTTTTTGGGGGTATCCAGCAGCCACCCTTGAACAAACACCGATTTGTGGTGCCACCTCCCATCGCGACCCTTCCATCTTAGGAGCCTCAACAAGAAAGCCTCACATGCGCGGCAGATCGCCAGCGATGTACTGTCGGACGTGGTCCGGCTGAATACAGGTGCCGGGGCGAGAAGACTGATGAGAGAAGGAATTCCCCCCTGGTTGGGTGAGCTGCGTTGCGCCAGCTGCGCTCTACCTAGCGAGCACAAGGATTCTCATATTCCTAGCATTCTTCCAATTGGATTGGAGATGCCTAGGCCCTAGGTGTAGGATTTGGTAAACAGTAGGGGCTTGCCATGCTCGAAACTCGAGGCTTTTATAAGTACATGAAAGGAATGAAGAGGTAGAGCCCCACCTGCTTGTAGAGGACGAGGCCTTTTTGTTTGTCTCTCTGATGGCCCTCCATTTTAGATGACTCGTCTTGGGAGGATGCTGCGTTTCAAGGGAAGCGCTGAACCTCCCGATGTCACCGGCAGGTCAGATTTGCGTGAATGACCTTTGAGTGAAGAGCGCTCGACCGGTCCATGCGCAGATTCTGTGGGATCAAAGAGTGCGCCGGAGCTGCGGTCAGCGAAAGGCCATTTGAGAGTCTAAAAGTCGAACTTCATACCACAATATGGCACCACATTTATGAAGTCCACGCCCTGCTTGTGGTTGGTAGTTTGAGGCAGTGTGAAGTCAGTGCAATATTGTCTCCGGCTGCGGCCATCCATGCAGGAACAACATGGATTTGACGCCAGCGGGGGCACAAAAGGCGCGCGAGATGTGACTGCGCGGACTGAGGACGTGAACCACCGAAGGCGAAAGATGACAAGCATCCAATGCCTTCGGTGCTTTCGCCAACAACATCCACGGTCCCATCTTTAAGGATATCATATCATATATTTATATATGTCTCCATCATCTACTGTCATAATAAGGGACGACCCTGAATCATGCAGATGACCACAAGATACAACAAAAAGAAACACGTCTCTCTGGCACCATTTTCTTCCAACATGCCTTTTGCTGAAAGCTTTTAGCAAAGAGATGCCAGTGATTCTCTCTTGTCTCCGCTCGGGGGCTTGGCCTCTTGTCCTTTGTAAGGGGGGAGCATCAGAAACACCAGCAATGGGAAGTTGATCCAGGTCCGAACCCTCAACCCTGGAAGTGCTTGCGGCAGGGGTACCTGGTACTGGTATGTGGTGTAACCGCCCGATCCAGGTTGGTCTGGGAAGCCGGCTGCACCCAACTCTGTGGCATGGTGAGATTCTGATGGGGATGAAGGATTCCAGTGTTCCCAGTGGTAGACCAAAGCAATTGACTGGACATGAGAATTTGCAACAATCGCCGACCGTGCTGGCAGCCAGTTCACCTCAATGTCACCCTTGCAAAGGGGCTTCAATTGGATTTGGCGTGCTAATTTCAGAAGGAATGCCAGCACGCGGCATCATGCCTTCAGACTTCCCATCTCCACTTTGATCCATTTTTGTGCGTCATACGTCAGGACAAATGGGGAATAAGCCAAGTCAGCCTTCACTGTGTTTGGTCGGGGCTATCCCAAAGGTTGGCGTTGCGTTGCGCAGAGCTTCTCCAGCCAGACTGGATTCAGATGCTGCCAGGGCTGCCGTTTGCAGTATGGTGCCGCTACTTCGCTGTGAGGGAGATATGGGAATTTGGGAGGACGCTGATGGCTTCGTATCCAGACGGTGGCACAGGAACTTTGTTTTCTGGTGTTTACTCGGCATGCTGCCAGTGAAAGATGACTCAAGTCACCTGCACACATTTGCACATGTTCGTCTTTTTCTTTCTTTATTTATTTACTGTATTTATTTCTCTCTCGACTCTCTCTCTCTCTCTCTTCTTTCTTTAACCTACGCGTATGCCACAACAAGCATTGATAAATTGATGCAGCGGTGAACTGGCGAATGCTGGTTGGTGTGCCTATCTTTTGGGAGGGCAACCACCCAGGCTTTCCGGCGGTCAGCCCCCGGATGCCGACTGGGTGCACTTCTAAGGTGTGAGGGCAGATGCCACCATCTCTGCGGTGGAGGGCTCCAATCACTAGGCTGGAAGCGGGTTTGCCCAACTCCTGAGTCACCTGTCTTCCGCCGCGTTCGCGGAAAAATTGCCGGGCTTCGGCCAGGCTGGCAAGCTTGCGGAGCGAAGAGGTGTGGCAGACAGAGCGAGAGGGCACTGGTTAGGAGGAGTATGGCATTCCATCATTCTTGCGGAGATGTAGATGTCAGCCGCGTAATTAGGTCACTTGGAGTAATTAGAAGATTGAGAGTGGCTTAAAGGCTTGAGTTTCTGTACTATAGGGCCCGTAAAGATTCTCAGGTGTTTAGATTTGCGTTTCGCGCGGTCTTGGTTTGATTGGCATGTTGGGTGTTCGATCAGAGAACGAAAAAGGCAGCCAAGGTTAAGGTTCCATAATTCAGTCTAACCCGAAAACAAATCTTTCAGTGCATGTTACCCTTTTGCTTTCCTGGCGCATTTGGAGGTCGTGGCGGCGCAAGAAAGCTATGTCTGGGAAGCTCCTCCTACAAGAAGGGGCATGGCCTACTTTGCCAGTCTTTTGGGGCACGGACACCCCCGCCCAGGGAGAGAAGATCTAGAATCTAGAGTTCGCATTTGTGTTGAACTGGCGACCAGGGTTGCTGCCCTTGATCTGCACTCTAAAATCTAAAACGAGACCACCTCAATGACTCAAGGTCTTTAGTCATCAAGCATAGCCACCAGGACTTGCTTGTTCCCTTTGCTGGTAGGTTCTGACTTTGGTGCTTGCTACAATGACAGCCCTTTGAGCCATATCGCGACACCGCCCAGGACTTCCTTAAACGTGGGAAGATCCCACGAAGGGCGAGCGAGAGCAAGACACCCAGTGCCGCTCAGCGTGATGAAAGGCTGGGGTTTTGAACGTGCTTCTCTGTGGATTTTGGCGTGGGGGAGGGGCCAATTGCGTGTTGTGGTTGTGGAAAGATGCAGGGGGAGGGGCTCAGAGCAGTGAGTAGAGACTAATCAACTACACACACAGACACACACACACACACACACATACATACATATATATACATAAACTTTAGCTATACACATATATATATATATATGAAGGATATATATATATATAGGCGCGAGCGCCACGCGCACACCCACACACACATACATGCATACATGCATACATGCATACATGCATACATGCATACATGCATACATACATACATACATACATTCATACATACATACGAAAGCCCACCAGCCAGGTGAAAACCAAGGCCTAGCACAAGGGCAAGATGGAACCGGCTTACGCCACCACCACGGAAGTCATCCTCCAGAACCTCACGATGACTGTGGGCAACCCTAGCAGCCGGTGCTATGCAAATGCCCCATGGAGAGCATTCGCCTGGACATGCGGCTTGCTCCAGGAAACCAACACCCAGCCCTGGGGAAACCTCAAAGAGGCCGTCCAGGAGTCCTTAGAGATGGCGGAAGCAGTGGACATCCAGCAGCTTCCCGGCCTGAAACCTATGTGGAGGAAACATGACCTCAACATTGAGGGTGATGCCAACCACTTTGTCAACACGCTCTGGAATGTCTCCCAAACACGAGCTTTCCACTACAGATATGCAGAGATCCAGCCAGGTGGATACTTAATCGATCACATCCAGCAACCCATCCTGATCCCTTTTCCTGATGACGGGCCAGAGGTCACCAATCTCCAAGACCTTTTCAACGGATGGGCGAACACAGGACTCGGGCAATACTTGATGGACGACAAACCAGTCTTGGTCAGCCACATCACCAGGAACACTACGATCAATGGCACACCCACAAAGCACAGCAAACTGGTGAACACCTACGGCAGCTTCACAGTTCCCAGATCCCTAGATGGTTTTGCCAGAGCATCCTCAGAGTTTGTGCCGGCTGCACTGATATACCATCAAGGGAAGACCCACAACACAGGACACTACTTTGCTATCCTCATCTATCGGGATTTGATGTGGATAGCTGACGATGGCAAACCGCCAATGCACTTGGAGCACTTGACACCACAGCTGGCCAGCCAAGTCACACAGGTGTGGGCAGTGCACATCGACACTTTCAGGACCACCCAACAGGTCCTACGCTCTTTGCCACCACCTGCAGAGCCAGACTTCGATCCACCACTACACCCCAGCCCGGAAAAGAAGGCCAGAGTGGAGCAACCACACAACAATTTGAATTTTGCAAATGTGACTCATTTTGGGAGACAAGTCCTGGACTGGTACTGGTCAAGGCAAAGCGAGGTGTACGTGTTGGTTGAAACTCATCTTGATCCACAGCAGCGTCAACAGACCTGCCAATATTTCTCCATCCGAGGCAGAACTGCCTTTGGCACACCAGCACAACCGAATGAAAGCAACACCGGCACGCATGGAGGCATTTTGGTGCTTGCAGACCCTTCGTGTGGGCTCACACCCTTGGAATCCTACACGAACCAAGGCTGCGGCTTTCAAGCATTTCTCTGGCAAGCAACGGAGTGCACCATCCTTGTGGCAGGCACCTACATGAAGACAGGTGAAACGTTGCAAAGTGATGTCAATGCCACCATACTTGCCCGCCTCTTGGCACTGGTTCAGGCCACCAACCACCCCTTTGTGCTCTTGGGGGATTGGCAAAACAGCCCTGGCAGCATCACCAGCACTGTGCTGCCTTCCAAATTTCATTTTGAGGTCCTCTCGCCAGACGCCAGCCTCTTGTCAGGCAATGTCATAGATTATGCCCTGATCCACAACCAGCTGGCCAGCACCACATCTCTCACTACTGAATGGGCTATTCCATGGAGGCCTCATGCACTCATCTCGTACCACTTCAACATTGAAGAGGCCACCAAAGAATACCGGCAAATACAGTACTTCCCACCGCTTCCAGCCACCCCAGACATCGACTTCAGGCCTTGGAGCACATACAAGTCCACAGCCTATGAACTGGACCTCTATGGTAACCCAGTCAACGACACAGCACAAGCATGGGCGGACTGGCTGTCACGCACAGAACAATACCTTTTACAAGAACACCCTTGGGCTGCACAAGGACGAGGGTCCAACCTCAGGGCAAGTCACAAGCCTTTGGCGCCAGTCACCACCATCACAACGTGGAAAAGGGGCCGACCAGCTTACTGGGAACAACTTCGGGCCAGGTTCCAGCTTGCACTCCAACAGCCTCCCCAGCAGGTTCGAGGACCCACCAAGGGCTTCATGCAAGCCACTGCTGATGCACCCAAACACTGGGTTGGCACGCCGACATGGGGCCAGTTCTTCGACACCTGTCACCACTGGCACAAATACAAAGACAGTCATGCGGCCAAATTGGTCAACCACACTATCGAACATCAACTTCAATTAGCACAACAAGCGGCAAACGATGAGAGCCACCTTCAATACAAAGCTTGGCTGACCCAGGGCTACACCAAAGGCCTTAAAGGGCTCTTCCGCAGTCTTCGCAGCAGTGAACTGGCTTGGGAACGGCCTTACAGGAACCTCA